AATGTCTTATATAATATAATAACATAACGGTACATCTTGTAAGCTCTTAAATGGGTAGGCAGAGATGTACTACAATGTAAAACCCATTTTACCCAATTATCTTAAAAGTCCAATGTAGTAAATAAGTGGTCACATAATTCTAGACTCTAATATTATGCACATTTATTTGGGAAAACGAGAAATACCACATTGTTATCTTATGTTCGATATTGGAATCGAACCCCTTCTCGGGCCCACGAGGCAGTGAATGTGTATTTCATATGTAATGGTATTATGTTCAACCCTGCCGACATCGTTGAGACACAATAGGCGCAATGTTAAAGGCGAGCATCGCCGAGACTAAGGGTTCGCGCATGCGCTATCCTACCTGTGTTTAATCTAACCGCGCGGCTTTAATACATCACTCAAAATGCACCGATTTTCAAAATTCTTTCACGCGTAGGAAGCTGAAATTGCAACGGGCTTATGTCGCGGCGAAGTATCGATGTAGGGGTCAGTGACTCTGTGTATGTATTTGTATGAAGTTATTTACTTTTGATAATATTTGCATACATATGATGTACTTGACGTCACAACTTGTACCCTGACAGGGCAGGCCGCCGCACATGTTCAATATAACACCAACTTGTCACTCGTTACATTACGAACCTCATGGTCATGTCCTGATACCATGCACTGGGTACAATTCCAGATTCCGTTCTATTACCAATTTTATAAACTCAGATTAGTTTGGTTAGGTAATCGAACCCGAGACCCCTTGTTCGGCAGCCACACTGTGACCATTACACTAACTAGGCAGTCAATATGTGTTGTTTTTAAGTAATAGTTACAACTCTGCCTACATCTATTATGATATAAAGGCGTGATGTTGATGACGTCGCGCCAAAACAAAGTGTTCGCGCATGCGCTGTTCGTATCTGTATTGTACGTTGTATTACTGAACTAACTCAAATCGCACCGATTTTCAAAATTCTTTCACGTATAGGAAGCTGAAAATTCATGAAGTAACATGGTGATACTATTGATTCTGTATAGTGACGGGAACAGAACCCAGACGCGTGCGGAGTGCAGGCGGAGCATCAACGCGCGCTAACACGCTACCTACAGCGGCGACACAGGCCGTTGTCACTCGTATTGAAACGCGCGGTTGTAGTCGCGAGAGATTGGTAATGTACAATTTATTTATTTAAGCTTCATGTACAAAATGTACTTAAGGTGGACTTAATGCCGCAGGCATTTTCTCCCAGTCTGACCTTTGGGTGATGCAGAGAAGAGTTAGAGGTGTGAGCAAGAAGCAAGCAACGATCATTTTGAGACTATTTACATCCATAGTTACTATTTAAACTTGTTGGCAACGCACCTGTGACTCCTCTAGTGTAGTGGGTATGCATGGGCGGCACTCATCGCTTACCATCAAGTAATCCGTCTCCTCATTTGCTTCATATATTTTCTTAAAACAGTAATCATTACAAACAGTATGAACGACGGCCGTCCGCCGAACTGAAAGTTATCGATTTGTTTGTAGTGTAAGTGTAACTTCATACGCGCGGTCATAGGTTCCGTTCCCGTAATGTTACAGGATCAATAATGTTACCTTGTTACTTGTTGATTTTTCACCTTCCTGTACGTGAAAGAATTTTGAAAATCGGTGTATTTTGAGTTGATCTATTAAACTATGAAGATGAAGTCGTGGGAGACTACCAATATATACAGATCTGCGGTCCGCTATACGATACATTTTGTGATTATTAAATTGACTTACTTGTTTACTAATTATTACAATTTTTAAACATTAAATACGGAGAATAAAATGCTAATTTTATTTAGTGCGTTTGTTCATACGAATAGAAGCTGGTAGCGACAGCGCATGCGCGGACACTTTGTTGTCGCTTAGTGGTGCGCTGCCTCCACATCACTCCTTGTATTATAAATCTTTGTTCTCCTTATTTATTGTTCAAAAATCTGCATTAAATAGTTAATCAGTAAATCAAGTTAACACAACACAAAATGTATCGTATAGCGGACCGCAGATCTGTATATATTGGTAGTCTGTCACGACTTCATCTTCATAGTTTAATAGATCAACTCAAAATACACCGATTTTCAAAATTCTTTCACGCGTAGGAAGCTGAAATTTTAGCGAGTAACATGGCTACGGTATTTGATCTTGTACTCATCCGGGAACACAACCTATGACCGCGCGTATGAAGTTACACTTACACTACAAACAAATCGATAACTTTCAGTTCGGCGGACTGCGGTCGTTCATACTGTTTGTAATGATTACTGTTTTAAGAAAATATATGAAGCAAGTGGGAAGACAGATTCTTTGATGATACCCACTACACCAGTGGAGTCAGAGGTACGTTGCCAACAAGTTTAAATAGATTACTAAGCAAATGTAGCAAATCTCGACTACATTATGTAGACATGTAACTATGAATGTAAATAGTCACAAAATGATCGTTAAATTGTACATTACCAATCTCTTGCGAATACAACCGCGCGGCTTTAATACATCACTCAAAATGCTCCGATTTTCAAAATTCTTTCACGCGTAGGAAGCTGAAATTTCAGCGAGTTACATATTACAGTATTATATCTTGTACTAATACGGGAACGAAACCTAGGACCGCGCGGCTGATGTCGCGGGCGAAGTATCAATGTAGGGGTCAGTGACCCTGTTACTTTTGAAAATATTTGCATACATATGATGTACTTGACGTCACAACTTGTACCCTGACAGGGCAGGCCGCCGCACATGTTCAATATAACACCAACTTGTCACTCGTTACATTACGAACCTCATGGCCATGTCCTGATACCATGTACTGGGTACAATTCTAGATTCCGTCCTATTACCAATTTTATAAACTCAGCTTAGTTTGGTCAGGTAATCGATCCCGAGACCCCTTGTTCGGCAGTCACACTGTGACCATTACACTAACTAGGCAGTCAACATGTGTTGTTTTTCAGTAATAGTTACAACTCTGCCTACATCTATTATGATATAAAGGCGTGATGTAGATGACGTCGCGCCAAAACAAAGTGTTCGCGCATGCGCTGTTCGTATCTGTACCTATTTGTACGTTGTATTACTGAACCAACTCAAATCGCACCGATTTTCAAAATTCTTTCACGTATAGGAAGCTGAAAATTCAGGGAGTAACATGGTGACACTATTGATTCTGTATAGTGACGGGAACAGAACTCAGACGCGCGCGGTGTACAGGCGGAGCATCAATGCGCGCTAACACGCTACCTACAGCGGCGACACAGGCCGTAGTCACTCGTATTGAAAGGGAATAAGGTTGAAATGATCAAAGAAATGTTACAAACTGAAATAAAAGAGTAGAAGTACTATAATTTCAGTAACTAACTAACAGTATTGTAGGCTTATTGGACACACAGAAATGTCCTACAGACGATGGCGCTGTGTATTGGGTTGTTCCGTTCCCAATAAAAAGGTTGACCGGATCAATTGCTGACACACACGTCATACTCGTGAACGGGTGCCTTCTGCTGGGTCAGGTCGGCTCTCTCATCTTGTTGGTGGGCTGATTTAAATAAATAGATAATACCTAATTAATATAACTTATACTTTTAGTAATAATTATAGATGTAGTTAATTGTAGTGTGTAACTAGTCTCTGTCTTTGTGCGGTCCATGGCCCTCTACGGCGCCCCTGTTTGGGCGCCGAACTTGTTGCGGCGTCCTGCTCGGACGCTGCTCATGTCACAGAGGGTCATGGCGATCCGAATGATCCGCGGATACCGCACGATCTCTGGGGAGTCGGCGAACCTCCTTGCCGGATTACCGCCGTGGGATCTGGAGGCGAAGGTGCTCGCGCGCGTGTATAACATGCGCGCGGAGGCACGTCGCCGGGGCGAAACTCCGCTGCCGCGCCAGATAAGTGCGTGGCGGGATGAGCTCCGGCGCGATCTCATGGCGGAATGACAGCAACGACTGTCGCAACCGAGGGCTGGGCTCGCTGCCATTGCAGCGGTAAGTCCCCTCTTTGAGGAGTGGCTTGAGAGACGCTACGGCGTCCTCACCTACCGCCTGACGCAGGTCCTCACCGGACATGGAAGTTTCGGGAGGTACCTGTGTCTGATGGGGCGGGAGGAAACGCCCGGGTGTCATCACTGCGAGGACCACCCTGAGGACACGGTGGAACACACAGTGGGAGAATGCCCTGCGTGGGCTGAGCACCGCCGTGCCCTCAGGGAAGTGATCGGCGATGGCGACCTCTCGCGTCCGGGCCTAGTGCAGGCCATGATGCGGAGCGAGGGGGACTGGGATGCCGTCTCCTCCTTTTGCGAAGCAGTCATGCTAGCTAAGGAGGAGGCGGGACGCGTGAGGCAGCGAAGCGCTGCCTCCTCGCAACCCAGCCATCGCGAAGGACACACCGGGCGTCGGGGATCGCGGGACGATCTCCGGCCACCGTAAGCGCGGGCCTGCGGACGGCGAGCATGGGTGGCTCCCCGTCCGACCAGAAACAGACCCGAGCGTACGGCGCGGCGCGTTCCGCGCGCGCCTCAAAGAGCCATCAGACCACCACAGATGGGGCCCAATAGGGCCGATGCCGATTCGGAGTCGCGGAGAACCTAACGGGTAACCGGGGCTCCGGCTCGACGTGCAGGAGAAGGAACGGGGTGGTTTTTAGTCAGTAAGAGTCTGACACTCCCCTCCGCCTCACCCAGGCGGGAGCAGTCATTCGATGATTTTCCCCCCTTAAAAAAAAAAAAAAAAAAAAAAGTCTCTGTCTTTACTTTATAAAAATTGACTAGATGTATTGTTATAAAAAAATTGTATGACAAGGGGACGGTTCAAAAGTGCCTTTCTGGTCTAATTGAAATAAATGATTTTGACTTTGACTTTTGACTTTTTGAAAAAGTCCGTGGAGAATTAAACTGTAATATTAAAAAAAGTGTAGAATAAAACTGAAGAGACACAAAATAAAATATAAATAATTTTATTAGTTACGTTAACATTATTTTTCACATACAATTTCCATACGTATGTACTGGCATCTGCAGGACGGAGGACCAAGGGCTCTTGTTCTTTCTTTTTGGAGACAAGTCGTGACGTAGTCTCGTGGGTTGGGGCATCGTCACAGGGAATAACTCGTCTGTCACCAGTCTTGGTAACATTGTTCTGGAATAAAACATTTGTATCTGTAATTCAAAAAGAAATTCATCTACTTAGCCCTTGGATGTAAAATCTATACATTATTATTATGCTACGCTACGATCTCCAGCCACCGTAAGCGCGGGCCTGCGCACGGCGAGTATGGGTGGCTCACCGTCCGACCAGAACCAGACCCTAGTGTACGGCGTATCGCGTTCCACGCGCGCCTCAAAGAGCCATCAGCTCACCACGGGTAGGGCCCAACAGGGCTGATGCCGATTCGGAGTCGCGGAGAACCTAACGGGTTACCGGGGCTCCGGCTCGACGTGCAGGAGAAGGAACGGAGTGGTTTTTAGTCAGTAAGAGTCTGACACTCCTTCCCGCCTCACCCAGGCGGGAGCAGTCACTCGATGATTTTGCCCCCTTAAAAAAAAAATATTATGCTTAACAAAAAATCTATATAGTGACTACTATTTTTTCGAAATTTCAAAAGTTCTTTTTATAGTGTTGTATGAGATTTTTTTCACAAAATTAAAAATAACACGAAACAAATCAAGAATTAGTAAGAAGCCTTGACTCTTAATATGACTTACCTTTTAATCCACTGAGTAGTCATATATACAAACAAATATGTGTGTATCATAGTTTTGACCAAAACATTAAGGAACACGATAAAGTTTGCAATCAAGAAGCATAGAAGGATGATAATGTCTTTCACCATGTGACTGAAGTAGTAGTCGTTGCTGTGTGCTATAAATCCTCTTAATGGGCAGTATCTAGAATAGACAACAACAATAATCTATTATTAAAAGCCTATACGAGTACATTACCGCACAATGGACCTCTAATAACATGGCTTTTAATGTTTGATAGGCCGCCGTTGACCACTTTCTAGTCTAGTGCTAAGTGATGAAGCGGCCAACGATGGAGCTCGTTTGCCCATAACCAACCTATTCACTCAAGCTTTGAACATACCCAGGTTATACCGAGTGTGTTTATCATAAATAATATCTCCCCTTAGAAGGCGCGTCGGACATCCAGTTTAAAAAGTTAAGCTTTATCTAAACGTGCTGTTGTGTGGTTTCTGTCAAGACATAATATGTAGTCTGCTTTGACACCCGCGAAAAGACTGAGGGTGAAGAATTTAGAGAAATTTAAAAACGGGTATTCAACTTGTTACCCCTTTGTTCAACATCAGCAGTCATGCTTCTAACATAACTGAAGAAAAGTGAATGTAAACGTTAAAATATAAGCTAAGTGCACTGCCTACTCTTTGGTGAAATAAAAAGCGTGATACTAATGAAAAAATATTGTATAGCTATATCTATACGTTTCTCAATGAACTATTAAGGGAAGGCTCATCTGTACGAACAAAATCGTAGTAGTGTCTGTATGCATGGAAAGATGTCGCTATATAAAGAATTGTACTATACAAGCTATTAGATTTATACATTTATTAGTCGGTGTATCAGAAATCTAGTTTTATTATATGTGAACAGCATAAAATCTGTGTTTCTATCGACAATTGTAGCAAGACTACTAATTTTATTTGAATATTATAGTGTTCCTAACTACACATATAGACATCTACAATGACACAATATACTTAGTAGTAGCAGTAAGTCACAAACACATCATTACCTCAAATTGTATCCAGCACAATATTCGTAAAAATATTCGATACATTGTACAACATAGTTGGGCTCCACATTGCTTGTACTCTTGTCCACTGTTCTAGTTAAACTCTCGCTCAAATACACGCCGCTATGCTTAGAATAACGTGGTCTACTGCTACTACAAAATATTCTCCACCGGTATTTGTTGCACAGCTCAGTCGAATCTGAATACCCACGTGGCATCCTTGTGTCTTCTCTCATCTTTCATATTTCATTATTGTTTCTATTTTTTTAAGCTTCGTATATATTTATTTGTAGCAGATAAGTTGCGAATTTGATGAAGGATTTGTTCAAAAAGCATAACAAATCCTATCAATTTCGCAGCTGTCTGCGTGACGTGGCTTGACGTGATCTCTAAATTATGTGACACTTTGGTCTAGAGCAGAGAGTACTATATTCTATGCTCCATGGTACGCCTGCTCTATGCCGTAAAACCGTAAACTGGGGTGAATAAATACAGGAAGAGGGTGAATAGACGTTAGAACGCTCTTAACATTTATTCACCTATCTTCAGTATCTTTATTCTTTAAAATTTTATTCACCATGTTTTACTTAAGATATATAATTCATGTCCGACCCCGCGAACCGACCAATGATGTGGCTACTGATAAGGGTTCTCGAATAGAGGCCTTGCACAGCTTGCACTGATGTAACGGCAAGTACAGCGCAGAACATCTACCAACAACTCCTACAAAATGTATAGACGATGACCGCGACGTGCTAAAACTCGCAGATAGCCGCTAGTTGTGCAAGTGCTTTGACTGGCTGATATGGAAACCATAGGAGAAGTCCTGTGACCGTTCTGATGATGATTGTGATGTCTTGTTTCACGTTCATCTTAATATTTGCGTTGCCAATTTGTGACTAATAAAGTAATTTCAAAATCAACTTATTTGATTGAATTAGTAGGGCACAAATCATACGAGAGTACAAAGAACATATTTAATACGTTCTCTTTTCTCTTTACTCATCTGAATGAATTTTAAATATTTATCTTCTTGAACCATTTCCCTATACTTAGGCTCTAGACAGACGGACCACATTTTAACTGCAATCCAATCTCAAATTGCAGTTAAGATGTTGTTTGAATGCAGTCACGAGCATGCAGTCATGGTTGCAAACCAAACGAGCCGTTCGATTGCAGTTCTTTTGCATGGGGTTTCAACAGATGGATTGCAGTTGAAATGAGGTTCGTCTGTTTAGAGCCTTAGTGTGACTATGGATGGCTGCTACCAGAAACAAAACCTTCACTATACCATACTTATGATTAAAATTAAAAACAACGTACCTATAGAAGAAATTTGACATCGTCCGCTGTCATAAATATGGAAAATCATGGCATAAACTATTTTTGTGTTTGTCCAACAAAATAATCTAACAACAATTATGTGAATCGCATAATCAATTCCAATAATGACGATACTTGCTAAGGAACATATAAACCGTAAATATTATTCAGGTCCATTCAGGTATGTGAAAAAATGAGCAGGGCACAGGTCACTGGACGTGATTATTTATTTATTTGCATAATTTAAATGAAACGTGATAAGTTTTCACGTACAACAGTAATCTTAGATGTACCTGATGTTATCCATTATGAAAAACATCATTTATGTTGACTTTTAACAAAATTCATTGATATTTATTATTTACATACCTAAAACTTAATCAATGTTAATTAAAAGCCCAGGTCGATACTCATATTTTAGATCCTAGTTCATTAAGGCCTTCTGCTGAAGAAAATAGACATATTTTCTTGTACACAGAAACGGACTCACGCGACGCCATTGCTCGGTAACTGTACACAAGTTTTAGTGGTTCTTAAACATATCATTATCCCCGATGCGGTAGGCAGAGGTGCACATTACGGCACTTAGTGCCACTGGCCAATGTAATACCCACTTTTCACTATTTATGTTATGAGTCCCATGTAATAGGGGGTGAGCCTATTGCCATATACCGGGCAGAATTCCAGACTCCGGTCGCAATTGCGACCATTCGACCAATGAGGCAGTTGGTTTTAGTGGTTCTTCTAGATTTATAATATCATCAAGACATATCAATAATAACTTCACTTCGATATCTCCCACTTCAGATGTCTGCTACATCATGGAAAGCCCTACCGACGACAGTTTTGATCCAGTTCTGTTCGCACAAAGCGAATCGTCACTGTCCTTGACCTCAAATTCAGAAGAAAATATTAAAGTAATATCTTATTTGGATAGTAATTATCAAATAACAAGTTCAAAACACTATTTATACTGCTATGTACCTGATAGATACAGTAGTATACAGACAGAGCAATCCACTTATATTTCTGACGACTCCAGCGGTGAAGAGTTAGTTATCCGGTATATTTATTTGTTTTTTATTCACATTTCGTGTCGAACGACGAACTTGTCGTGGTGGCCCGGAGGTTTACGACGCCAGCTTCTCATTCAGAGATTCGGTGCAGGTTCGAAACCTACCAACGGCAAGTACCAATATGCCTTTTTCTAAGTTATATGTACTTTCTAAGATTATTTAGACATCACTGACAAAGGATAAGGAAAACATCGTGAGAAAACCTGGGCTTATACTAACAAGTTATAATTTTTAACATAAGCTTAAAATCGCAAACCCGTCGTGAGCAAGCGAGGTGATTAATGCTCAAACATTATAAAAGACTGTTGATGATGATGACAAATCACAATTCAACAGGATTCTTTAGTTACACTTGAATTAAGTATATTTTGTAACAACTATAACATAACTGCATATTCCATTTCCTATGAAGTTTTTTAATCGGTTTACTTGACCGCAGTGTATTGCACAGTAGTATTATATAAATAGTAATTTTTCTATGACTTATAACTTCGTTGTTGTCCTTAGATTGGTTCCTTTATCATTAGTTATACTTATGTCATCTTAATTATAATCAATTCAATTATCCTTTAGTAATAGTAATAGATCAGTGAGTGTGGAAAGCGACGCAAGCCACTATACTGACTTGGAAGATAGCCATGGAACAATACATGGGCATAGATACATTGTGTACAGACTGTCTCAACAAAATCAAACCGACATGTATAGTACTGAAATAGAGAGATTGAGAAACAAAGAACCAGTAATAGTCATTGATAATCTAAATGGCACACATGATATACAAACAATGGTAAATCAAATTCTAGCGAAAAATGAATTCTCCAAGGTTTCCTCACTTTATGTTGTTGTACCAACATCAGACGAAGATGTTTCCAAACCTGTGAAGGCACCTCCCCGGTCTACAATTTGTGTACAGTTATCAGAACACCATAATTGGAACGAAAATGACGAGACTGATGAAATAGGTTAGAATGGCATAATAATATAATTGTCATACAGTAGAATATACTTTTGATTTTCAGGCATTTACTAGTGATAATTTCGAAACTGAAACCCAAACTTTTGCGAATCATAGGGCTTAGTAAGAGTTTGATCCACGTTTATCAAAATCGAAATGAGATCGCATTCGGTGGCCTGATTGGCTGGCTCCAATGTGCCAACATGATTGCATGAAGCCCTCAGATAATTTTTCTTTGTAAGCACGGGCCTGCGGTCGGGGGAGCACGGGTAGCTCACCGCCCGATCAGAACCAGATCTGAGCGTTTGGCATATCGTGTTCCGTGCGCGCCTCAAAGAGTCGTCAGACTACTATAGATGGGGCCCAGTAGGGCTGATGCCGATACAAAGCCACAGAGGGCCTAACGGGTTGCCGGAGCTCCGGCTCGAAGAGTAGAAGTAGGAACGAGGTCGTTTTAGGCAGTAAGAGTCTGACACTCCGTCTCGCTCCACCCAAGGCGGGAGAAATCGTTGGATGATGTGCCACCCTCAAAAAAGGGGGCAAAGTAGTTGACGGATCTCCCTATTGTATGAATACAAATAACATGCTAGCAGAAACACAAATGTTCCTTCTTTATAACATTAAATATGTACAGAGAATACCTATTATCTGGATACATTTAATATCAACTAATAATATCCCCTTCACCTGGGGTTTGAAACTAGTTATAAGAATTATTTATTTAAACTAAGAATGTATATTTTATAAATTACAGAATTAGTTTCACCCCATACACGTGGCTTGAAGATATCAACAAAAGGTAAAAAATTTTGTTTAGAAGGTCTACAAGAGACATTATCATCTCTTAGTGAGGAGGAATCTACGAGTAAGGTCAAACGTCCAAACTTTTTAAAAAGGTTCCACAGGCATTTAAAGAAAGAAAAGATGGAAAAGTCAGAAAGTACAGAAGAAAAAGAAGTTATAGTAAACAGAGAGAAGGCAACCAAGAACAAGCTGTGCCAAATAACTACTCCTAAAGAAATGTTTCGAAGATTTCCACGAAGTATGAGTACTGACATCCACCAATTGTACTCTGACTACACTAATGACAAACTCAATGAATCATCGAATGTTGTTTCTGAACTAATCACTCCTCTACTCGTAAACCAAGGTAACGTATATAGTTAAAGTTAATAAGTTCAGTAAGTAAAAGCTTACTCTTACAAGGTCGGGATTTATGTTTTCTTACAGTTTTACATGATGAGTGAGATGAGATTACCGTTGTGTGAGTGCTGCTTTGGATTTTTACTCCTACACCTTGGTCTATTGTTATTTAAACGCTTTCTATAGATTTCGTCTATCGGTATTCGGTTGATGCATACACATGCACACAATTCTTTAATGTCGGTTAATTCGAATTATTAGTTAAGAAATTTGTGTTTTTCTTTTAGGTTTGAAATGCGATACACATCGAAGCAGGCCGATGATGATAAGCGTGACGCAACAAGCATCGATCATGTCCATGACCCGTGGGTGCTCGGTAGCTCCATGCCAGTTGTCTACTGTCGGCCGAGGACGCCGCAACGCTGTGCAATTAGATGAATGTCCAATACAAGCAAACTGTCCTGAAGAAGACACCGACAAGCCCCCAGATTTACCGGATAACTGTCGTTGCTGCCCTGAGAAACTAAAGCAAATGTTACAACAAGCACTAGAAGACAAGGCACAGAATTTAAGATCCACAGCATGTGGTGGTGTTCCTGAAGATACAGAGGGTAAGTATTTTAATGGTAATGTTAAACGTCTTTATTTTAAATAGATATTACCACTTTCTTCTTCTTGCTAAACAGGGTGATTTGTAATTAGACCATAATCTCGTATGGGGTTGTAGAACGGATCATTTTCAATTTTTTTGGAAAACAAGGGGATAGGCGGAATTGAACAGTTATTAAAATATTTTATAATAATTATCGTGAGATATACTAAATTAACTAAAAATCGCGGGTTACTCACGCGAATATACTGAGAGTAGGCTGCGTGACATCGCCACGGCCGCGCACGCTGCTCATGAGTAAGAAACCCTCTGGGGTTCGAAACTAGTATAGCTTTTCTCAGTATATTCACTTGAGTATGACGACCCACGATTTTTAGTTAATTTAGTTATCAAAATATTTAACTTTTAATGCCAATTCCAAAATGACGCCCGCGTTAACTCTAAAATATTTTTAATTAACTCCTTTTTTAATTATCGTACTTTATTAGTTTATTTATTAATTCTAATCATCAAATACACAAAATTATATTATTTTAGACACAGTGATCCCAAATTCAAGGAACATAAGAATTATTTTCAAAATTTGACTCTGAATAATGCTTCTCTAACATAAAAAACTAACTTGTAGACACCAATAAGATGTTAAGTGTCACCTATCTGAGCTTTGAGGTTCCTTAAAATTTAGGAGAGGTTGGTGAAAACGGGCAGTAGATTCACCAATTGTCTACTACATTTTAAAAAGATATTATGGAAATTGCTAACCATTCGGATAGACGTTGTGGGTTTTATTAAAGGTAAACTTAAAGTTGAACTTCGTTGTTACGACCTTGGTCCATTGTTAGACTAATATCATTGATATTACTTCAAGTATATTAAAGTTGCGTATCTCATAAAAAAGCTTAGGAAATGTAGATGTTGTTTTATAAAAAATGCACAGGTGTCGTAGTAATTTTTTGTGCCAGAGAAGCATATTTCTGAGTAACTTGAACTTAAAAGTATTTCCTATATGCTATAAATTTTAGATTACTCTGTCTAAAATAATATTGTTATTGTGTATTTGATAATTATAAATAGTAAAGTAGGTTAAATAAAAAAAGAAAATTATATCAAGCGCGTTTCTTTTTTTTATATTTGATGGGCCGACGTTTGACCACTATCTCGCCTGGTAGTAAGCGATGATGCAATCTACGATTGAGCACGTCGTCCCATAAACAACCTATTCACTGGGGCCTTTAAGACCTACTAACCCAACCTGGGTGGTTATACCCGTCAGGAAATACAGACTTTCAGAATTCTACTCCTTAGCAGTACGCACAAGGAAGCTTGATGCGAAGCGCTTCGTGCATGTGGGTGGGACATCTACAATTAATCGGTGATGCTTCGCCGATTGTCTTGTGGATTATTTTATATTTTTTTTCAGTTTTATAGTTATCGCACTGAATATTTTAATAACTGTTCATTTCTGCTTATCCCTTTTATTGACAAAAATTGGAACCGATCTGTTCCATTATTATAATATTAAATCACCCTGTATACTTATACAATTTAGTTTCAAGTGGTGGTTATGTTTCGGCACGAGAATGAAATCTTTGGAGGCCCAAATCATATGTAACTCTTCTAGACGTCCATGGGTGTCACCGATTGCTTACGTTTGGTGAATGATATGGTAGTTTACCAACCTATCATGTAAAAAACTACTATATTATAAAATAAATTAGAATCTTAACTTTTGCTAAAGAAGGTGGACACGTCCTATAACAAAGTGACATAATTATCTCAAAAATAAGATAAAAATATAACCAAAAATATGTCATACTTTCTAACTTTATTTTTTACATATTCATACGAAAAAATTGTTTTAAAAATAGTTCAGGGCCGTTTATGAAAAAATCTTTTGTATGAGTATGTATGGACTGATTTTAAATTTTTTTCATATAAATACGTACCCTCAGGATAGTCCCACAGGTATAAACGCAGGTCTCTGGTCTGGAGAAATGAAAGTAAAATTTCAAAAATAAGCGCTGTTTTAAGATAGTTTTTAACATATTACATTAATTTTGTTCGATCAACGATCAACTGACAATTATCTCATAATTCACCTGATTATGAAGACAAGTGAACCACATTATTCACTTGCCGCGTCGCATCGCTATCGTTAATCGTCTCTCATTTGTGTTGATGTAAATAACACAACCTCTGTCGAGCACTTCTTGCGTTGCCGCTGACGTTTCTGTCTCATGATAAGGCAATAAGTCAAAAGAAACAACAAGAGAGTCCTGGATACCGGGGAGCTGACTTTATGGCCATGAGACTACATTGGGTGGTTCCTTATAAACAAAAATAAATCATAAATACCTACTCGAACGAATTTCTTATAACAGCGCAATTTTTATAGCAATTTTTCCATATGTACGGTTAAAAAATAAAGCAAGGGATTTTCCTGTATTTTTGTTACATTTTTATTTTTATTCGAGATACGTCACTTTGTTATGGGACGCGACGTGTGGTAATTTTGTATGGATTGTAATCCTTCTTGTTTTTATTATTCGTTTGTTTAGATGACTGTGGGTACTCAAAACAAGAATGCGATGAAGATTCAAGTGCAGGGTGTACGTGTAGTGGTACAAACAAACGAATGTCATGCCCATGTCAATTATTTCCGCTGCCTATATCTAAAACTACTAACGGTCCAAAAGAAGGGACTAGATCTTTAAGCTGCCAGTGCTGTAATTGTGAAGAATCTAAACTGAAATTTTGTCCAGGTACAAAAAATTTGGGTTCGTGTACAATGGAAGTAATAGGACCCGCAGGTGGAATCTCACTAATAGAACCAAACGGAACTTACACTCAAGCAGGCATGATACAGACCCAGGTCGCTACTAGCACGGAGCCACCCCGTAAGGAATGTGTCTGTGACGAGAAAAAGACAAATTCCCGTTTAAACTTTATGGGTGGATTCCTCAAAAGCAAACGCGCAACTAAACAAGTTTGCGAATGTTGTCCGGTACCCGAACCTGAGCCTGAACCTGAGCCTCAAATTGTGCTTAAACGAAAGCCTGATTATGACATTGTTATTTCACCAACTCCTGGAATTGTGATTGTGCCAGAGCCTGAGCCGCCGGACGAAGACCAGCTGAGACGTAACGCTGAAATGATTGAAGAAAGAAGAAGATTGAAAGAAAAATCAGATAGTACACATGCAATATCTGGTTTCAGGCTGTTTAAGGGCAAAGCGCCTCCACCCACTACAGGACCACCAGAAGTAGAGCTAACAATGGAAGAGGCTGTCAGGTACTATGCTACTTTAAACCCAGAGATTATACAAGAGTTTATCCCTCCTCCAATAGTCATCGAAGAAAAACCTTTTAAAGAGTGTACGTGTGAAGAGAAAAAATTAGAGAAGAAATTAAAGAAAAAAAGGAAGAAAACAAAAATAGTGAAAGAACCTATTGTCATATGTGAATGTCCCGTTGACCCTGAGCCACCACCGCCACCACCAGAACAAGATCCATTAATAATAGTGGTTCCTGATAGTATGCTGAAAGCTGATGAAACACCAGACGGTGAGGGTGATGAACCACAAACCGAAACTGTACCTGAACCTCCATTGGAAGGACCAACCGGAGGAATCAAGTTGGCTATGACTGGTAAAGGTTCCGGATCTAAGGGTCTTTCTAATCTATATTGCTTCGAAAAAGATGAAGATGAACTGTATAGAAAATGATAAGTTGAAACTCTGTACGAAAATGAGTCGGTTCTAAAAATTAGCGTTTCCTTTCGTTATTTAACCTATTAAGATCAATTTTCTTACCAACGTACTATATGATATTTAAAAAAAACCATTTATTAAGATTTTATTAATTATAATAAATATTTTACAGTACCACTGATCATAAAACTTAATAAGTTTCATTTTGAGTACATAAATCTTTGCTACCGTCATATTTAATTTATTAACCGACTCCCCAAAACTAAAAAGGTTCCTAATTCAACTGTTATCTTTTTTATGTTTATAATTCATTTCCGCATTTAACTTATTCCGATAATCACTCTAATAAGATCGTGATGACGACATATCTGTATACACTACAAACAGTCTTAGTAATTGTGAGTTAATACTTTTATATTACTAACTAGCTTTTGCTCGCGACTTTGTCCCCGTGGAGTAATAACTTCTGACAGAATTTGGGTTTTTAAATAGTGTTCCAATGTATATTCTATGGCTGTAGCAAATGTCATCAGAATCGATTCAGTATCTAAGTGATAATTAGTTTAAATTGGTTTATTACCGAAGTTTAAAAATCTAAACAATCCTAGCGGGGTTTTACGCGTATAGTGTCCGTTTCCGTAAGCTTTCAGCGAGAAAAACTACTCTATATCCTTTCCCGAGTTTAAAACCATGGTTGTAATTTCACTCAAATAGATTCAGTGGTCTACTTAGATAGAGTCCCGGGATTTTAACACATAGTTTCCGTTCTTGTGGGATTTCCAGGCTATAAAATTTAAAACTATAACTGTACCTTCATTAATCATAATAAAAAGGGGTAATAATAAAAGTTTTAATTTTCCCACTTTTTTTCTTCTGTAAGGGGGGAATTTCCAAAAATCTTTGTGCTACCCTTGTGCCCGTGCGCGGGACTGCGGACGGCGAGCATGGGTGGCTCCCCGTCCGACCAGAAACAGACCCGAGCGTACGGCGCGTAGCGTTCCGCGTGCGCCTCAAAGAGCCATCAGACCACCACAGATGGGGCCCAATAGGGCCGATGCCGATTCGGAGTCGCGGAGAACCTAACGGGTAACCGGGGCTCCGGCTCGACGTGCAGGAGAAGGAACGGGGTGATTTTTAGTCAGTAAGAGTCTGACACTCTCTTCCGCCTCACCCAGGCGGGAGCAGTCATTCGATGATTTTCCCCCCTTAAAAAAAAAAAAAATACCCTTGTCCTACAGGAGTACACATCTAAGGAACACACACAAATTTCAGCTCTCTACGACCAGTAGTTTCTGCTGTCAGTCATTCACTCACTCAGTAACGGAAGAGTTTTATAATTATATAGATATGTTGCCCAGGCCTATTAGCTATACAACAAAATATCCATTCATTCCGGAGATTAGCCTGTGCAGAGTACTTTTACTGTTTTATACCTCTATAGCCTGTACAGATTATTAGATGCCAACAACCTTATCATTTGTTCCCGTCATTCAAAAATATAATTCTTCAATAACGAGGATATCCTTGGGTTCCGTATAAAAGTCCATCGCGACACATACATATTGATATAAGACACTTTTCTATGACTACAGTACTCGCTATACCTATAGAGAAAGTCCTACGAGGTCATAAACAAGACAAAAACATCGATCATCTTCACTGAACCTTTATTCAGAAATATTTATTTTATGAATAACAATAATTTGTTATTTTATTAACGATTTATAATATTTCCCCGTAATAGATATGCGTGAACGTGGATAGATAAACTTACTGTACTAAACGTATAATTACAATAGTAATGACTAGTAGGGTACATATTATTCTTAAACGTACGTGGATACCCTTCATATAACGGTATCTTCTGGAAATAGAACAAATAACTCAAAAATGTGATACTTAGATAACCTTGTGAATGTTAGCAAGGGATAGTAAACAACTGACTTTCATTATACTTTCAAACCACAACGATCCAAAGATATTCATTCATTTTTCTCATACACTATTACAGCACCAATCTTATAGTTTACTTCTTCCTAATAAGGAATCGCCACACACTTATGGGCCTAAGTCAGTATTAGCCTAGGGTATAAAGTCCAGCTGGGCGTTCAATTTAATCTTCACGCTTCGAAATTCTTTCTAAAACTTTCTTTCTTTCCCTTTCTTTTCTCCTAGTTCATGAGGGTGCATACATAAAGAAACAGGTCTAAACGGCTCAGTACCAAACAGTGCAGGTATACTTACTTATATAGAAATAGGTACCGCCTGGGCGACATAGAACATGTTGGTTGTATACCTGGGCCGATCGGTACTAACCCGCATAGACCTGTTTCTTTATGTAGGCACCCTTAGTTCCTCTAGCAACTTAAAAGGACATGAAGAAAGATTTAAAGACGACAGTAAATATGTACTTATATCTAATTGTTATTTGGTAAATCTAGAAGTTAAATACTCCTACTGAATTAACTTCTGAGTTGCATTTAAGTAGAAAGTTCTCGCTGTCCATCTGTTGGCTGATTTGATCTGTTGTAATAGGCATTCGAGTCGGTTGTCCTTATTGGCATGATCAGTCCGTCTTGAGTGATAAGTTTATACGAAATATGACTGCTGACCAGAGAGACAGTCATCGTTATCGTGAGGGCAGCCCAACACCACGCGACATGACGGTACAGTAGGCGGGCAATATGGCTGAAAGAGAAAAACTCAATATAAGTATCATGTTTAAGGCATTATTAGGTCGGTAAGGTTACGGTTAAACTACAGTGGCTTTTGACCCCTCTAAAACTGAAAAGGTTTATTAAAACAAGCTACAGCTATTTTATAAATCTGTCACGAAAAAGACTGACGGTGGACTAGAGACCCTCGCCTACGGCGACTTTTTGCAGCGATGCTGTCGCTCGATCACTAAAAGCGCGTCAGCATCGCTACTAACATGTGTTAGTCGCATTTGCAACGCGCAACAATATCAATGCCAACTTATTGTATCGATACAAACGCGCGACCGTATCGTTTTGCATCATTGTCACTGCTTTTAGGCTACCTACGTAAAAGCACCAAGGACAAGGTTTTTAACTAAATCGTATTTACATCGTAACTGAATCTGAGCTCGTGGACGAGGACCTACAACTAGCGACTGGGTCGTGTCTATATAGATACTACACGCGACAGTATCGTGATTGCATCGCTAAAAAATACGTAAAGGTCGAGGGGCCAAATTTACTTCAAATAAATTACAATACTGATTAGGAAGGTAACGTATGCCATACCAGAGTATTCTGCATATTGGAGCATGTCGCCAGTGGATTTGCGGTGATGTTCGTCGACTCGAAGCACCTGTCCTCCTTCGTGATGTCCGGTTCTCGGTGGAAGCATCCTGAGAAATTCATCAATTTATGACAATTAACGGTAAAATTTGTTAGTTCTATTACCTTTCTGTCAAATCTTAAATTGAAACAGAGATCTGAAATGAGAGATTGCGTGTCTTTGTTCGCCATACAGCTCTTCTAGATACTGTAGCATGTGCTACTTTTTGCTCAACAGATAATTTCCTAGTGTTAAACCGTTGGTTGGACAGTCGATTTTTGTCGTCAAAAACGGTAACCGTCATTGAGATCTGTGAATTTTGGCAGTTACTGGTAATAAGCGATTCCACATACCGTTGGTGTTCCGTGGTACCAGGTCAGGGTTAGAATCCTCGTGGTCTCGTTTACCACAGAATATCTTAACTACCAACGTGATGGCTGCCCCCGTAATGCCGAGGGTCACTATTCCTGCCAGTGTCTCGACGTAAGGCATCCATTTTTTAGCAATTCCGTTACTCCTTTCAACTACAAAAAAAGAAAACAAATACAAAATTAGAAAAGGTGTGGTAAGTGAGAATCGTATATTTGGATAGATTGGGACTTTAAAATTGTAAGAACAAGAACAAAAGCGTCTCAAATCATGTCCACACCGTAGCGTGTGATTAATTTACAGTTCTTTTACAGGCACATAATTTTTATTCACATACGTTCTGTTTTCTCCTCGGCTATTACGTCGCTGTAAGATTTCAGTACTTTTTTAATTTGTTGGCTTTTTCCTCTCGTATTCGCAGCATAATAGACCGCAGTAAAATTCTGGTATTCCGGTAGATTCTTCAAGTGATAATTTCCAACAGCATCCGATACATTGCGGAGTAGTCTGCCAGTTTCGTCGTACAGTTCAAAATAGACTTTCTGAGGTCGTCCTCCATCCCAGCCTGGATATAAATTAATATAATGATTATTATTAAAGTCTGTTTACAATTTAGATCAGAAATAATATGTTACTGCCTAACAAAGAAGTTTATATTCTCGAGTCGGATAAAAATTGGCGTTTCTATATAACTAGCAAGAATTATTTGACTATTTATACCAGTGCAGCGGTGCACACAAGTGCAGCCGTTGGCTAGTGAATGAGGTGATGATATGCATACTAACAGATTGGCAACAGTAGTAGCGTAGAACTTATACCTACGCAAGGTAACTAATTACTAAATATTGTATATCTGTAAACACGAGATAACCGTCACTACTATATCAATATTTGCTAATGTAATTGATATACCAAAAAACAAATTAATGACAAAAATGTCTAACCAAGTCGGCAGTGGACAGCGAGGTGGTTGGGCACAGTGCGTTTGATATCACAGTCGGGCGTCTCAGGAGGACCGCCAGCGGTTATATTGAATACACAGGGATTCTTCTGTTCCCCAAAGGCATTGGTAGCTCGGCACTGCAGCAGACCAATGTCGCCGCCACGAGAAAGCCAGGTCAGGCTTGAAGAATACCGGTTCCGATATGTAGATATCCTCTGAAAAAGTGACCAGTCGTTATGGGAAATAGTATAATAAACAGCTCATTGTTGGAATCATACTAAATACGTACGTATATTGTATATAAAACAAAGTATCTATGCCTTCATTTTAGTAGGTCTCGACCTACCGTTTGGAAGATAACCTTCATGACGATGGAGCTATAAACTTCAAAACACAACAAACTATGTATGTTAAAATTGCTTTTATCGCTGCTAATTTTGAGGAATAATAGCCCTCTACAACACAGGAAAACAAAATTACTTCTCTGTTGACAAAGTCTCCTCTGACAAAAGTGACTATTAATCAAATCTATGTCTATGTTTATCTTTCATCAATATCATTCACTAACCGTTCCGCTCGTATAGAGTGTTTTCGAATCCTCAAAAGTCCACGTGAACTGCAGAGGCTCAGGAGAAGCATCCACTATGCAATGGACTGTCTCTGCCTCTCGTACAACAGCGCCTACCCTCTCCACACGACCGGTCTGACAGGTGGGCCGATCTGAAAAATATGAAGACAGGTTGGAACTTAGTACTTAAATATGGGTAGGTACCGCTAGAAAGATCTTTCTAGCCTATGTGCAACCAGATTTGAAGAAGCTTCGAACTTCGATGGCAAATACCGCGACAAATGGCGGCTCTGAGTCAACTAATTAAACGTGGATATAGGAGCTTTCTGCAATAGACATGACAAGAGTATGGATGAGGACGCTGGTTCAAAACCTATCAATGGCAAAATACCAATGTGATATCTTCCGAGTTATACCTATGTACTTTCTGAGATTACTTAGAAACCACTGTCAAATGTCAGTGGTTACCTTCACCGTATGGTGAAGGTAAACATCGTGATGAAACCTGAGATTACATTTTCTAATTATAAGTTTGTAACCGCATTGACCAAGCGTAGTGATTAATGCTTAATGATTATTTTCCTTGCTAGAAGAGGCTTTTGGTTAACAATGGCCACGTATAGGCTGCTGATGATAAGTATAAGAACCTTTGAAACGCACTTGTGATTCTTCTGGTTTGCAGAAGATTGTGGGCGGCGCTGATCACTTTCTATCAGGTAATCCATATCCATCTTTTTTATTAATATGGGCAAACGTATTGCCCCTATTACATAAAAAAGAAAATGTATGTCTCTAAATCAATACTCACATCCAACGTTGATGACTACTTTGTCCTGGAACAGTTCCGAAGGCATGTGGGAATTATGTGCTCGGCAGCTTAGTTCGTAGTGTGATTCTTGGAGGGAAGGCGACAAGGTTAGTGTCGACACCGTGTAGTTCCCTTCGTTGACTTCCTGGAATTGCAATGTTTTGTTATTCAAGCAATATCTTGTTTTCATTAACATATCGCATATTCATTGGATTTTAAACAATACTATTGAAATAAACCGATACTGCGATTTAATTCAGACTAATATTTAGGGAATTATTAAACTTTTCTGCGTTTTACACTTTCTGGATCGAGGATTTTTTAATGTTTAAATGTGGTAGTTGTTTACAATGAGCATTTTAAGGTTTACCTTATGAGAGGTTGGTCTCAGCAATGTATCTCCTAGATGCCAACTGATGGAAGGTGCGGGGACACAGCCGATTACAACGCAGTCAACTAGACGTGGAATTCCAGCTTCGAAACCGTAATTCTCATCTAAACGTATTTGAACGCTGAGCGGAGCAACTGGAAAACAATTAGTACTACATTATAAGCTATATTATATTTTATAAAGCGTGGCTGCATTTAAAAACACATAATTTTAAGCCAAGGTTACAATAGAGGACAAAGGTTACAGGATATGTATCAGCGACATATGAAACGAAGCCGGCCGATTACGCACATCATTGGCAACAAAGCATAAGGAGGTGACCAGTGTCGCACAATGTTGCCTGAGATGTCGAACGAAGTCCGGCAACATCCTGACTGACCCAACATGACTGGCGACTGTCACAAGATGTTACCAGAATAATTGTTTCGGGATGAGCAAACACTCTAAATACATATATAATGAAATGTCTTCATGTGAATGGGTACTTTATTATAGGAAGGTTTTCTCCATGGTCACAGTGCAGAAACTGTGACCATGCATGCATACTGTGACATGCATCACATGCCACGAGGCGAGTTGGTGGTCAAACTGTATGGGAGATCCATGATTCAGTGCTTATGGGTCGGCTCGATCGAAGCGTACCAGCTTCGCGTAAAACCAGCGTCACACAACGCTTACGTTATGTTTTGCCTCGTGAGTTAGGTTACCGGAGGCTCAATTCTCGCCCTCTTCAATCTTTCTAATCTACGAAACCCCTATTCTCAAATATTTAACCTCAAAATACCGGGACATTGGTGTTTCGGGTGACAATGGGCGGCGCCGATTGCAAACCGGTGATTCGTCTGGACTTATACTACAACAAATCATCATCCCAATAATACTTAAAATTGATAAGTACTGTTACTAGGCGATACTTACGATACATCTTTATTACGATGCTTTTAATCAAAGGCTCTGATACGTCGGAGTTTTGGGCCAAGCATTCGTAATGTGAATCCGCATTAGATCGCGTCAGGTTGTACAGATGTATGTCTGCTTGTACCACGTCAGTCCTGGTCAGGTGTGTCCTCTCCATCATCACTCCGTTGCGTCGCCAATACACTTCGATCTCAGGATCTTCTGCAAAGTTAATGTGTTATGTTTATATTTTGTCAAAAATCTTTAGTAACGTACATACATATTTTGTTTAATATTGTGGTTGGGGATCCTATATTTTGTATGCAGTTCAGTTAAATGCAATCGTTTTAGTACTTCATTTTCATTTCATTTTCATTTTGAGTGGATCGAACACATATAGAAAGATAAAGTGTTTAAAGAGACTTCCGGCGTCAAGGATTTAAGACCTCACTGGTTTTGCCTAGATAACTACTTCCTTCCTGATAAACAGCTATAAATTATCATGTTCATTCATCATCGACTACGTGTTGTCTTGTCGTATACTCGACATGAATCAAAAGATATTATTTACTTTATTATCAAGCAAAGCTTTTTTGAAGTTAATTTAATTTTACATTAGTTTAGTAGAAAAATATGATACGTACTACTTTTTACGCGACAGGATAGAGTTAAGTCGGAGCCAATGCTCAGTGGACCCACGGTTACACCTTTAACTTCTTCATCACCGTTGTATACCGTTGGTATACCAGGAGAATCTGCAAAATTATTAAGTTATTCACATCTACAACCCATGTCAGTTCACTAGAATATCGGCTTCCTCTACTTAGGGTGTGCTTTGACCTTCACGCTTGATCGAGATGTTGGAATGCCCGGTGCTGCTCAGTCTCGGTCTAAGACGGTTCATACGATCACACCCACAAGCAGACCATGGTAACAAATGTATCTTACTTTGCTGTCACAATCTGTTTCAATATATGATTACCTATACACCATTAAATCTTATACACTTATTATATGAAGCTGAAAAGATTGTTGAACGCGGTAATCTTCGAGACTATGAGGTATAATTATTTTTGTGTTAAATAGCACATTTATTGACGAAGGTTATTGGCTATTAAATATCACGCTACGAACAAAAAGCACCGGACAGAATGGTTGAAACCACGGTGAAGTAGCTTATAAATAATATAATATACACAAAAGGGAATTTGAATTCACAGAAAAAAAAGAGTTTAAAACTAAAACTAAACCAGCTGATTTTCAATAACTATAAGGCCTGACTTACCGATAACCCGGAGTTCGATCAAATGATCAACTGACGGGGACGTTTGATAGTGAACCCGGCAGCGATACAGTCCTCCATCGTGATTTGTCACTCTCTTCATTAGCAGGGCAGTCTGGTCGCGACAGGAGCCAGGGTTACAAGAGGCCTCCACGATCCGGTCTGGGTTCATGAGACTAAAATGTAAGAGAAAAACGGGTTAATATTAGCAAGGAATAATATTATGCTTTAATAGTCGTAACTTGTGACGCACGATGTAGTTGGTTGAGTCGAGAGCTCGCGAGAGCTTGATGGTGAAGTGTGCGATTCGACCACGAGACCGACACTAAGTCCTTATGTAATCATCGAAATAATCATTGTAATATATCAACATTATTCAAGGCAAGTCAAGAAATCGGCATCTATCCTTGACGAAGAAGCAAAACAAAAGAAAAATCTGAACGAAACATATTACACTACAGATTTATCAAATAGTTAAGCTTACCTATGTTCGTACTCTTCATTAGGAAACCGGTAAAGGAAATCACGATCATCCTTCAACCATAGAACGTAAGAATTAGGCCCATCCAGGAATACCGTTCCCTGTCCACACGGGAGCCGCGCCTCTCGACCTCGAATCGCCCGAAGAACCACGATGTCTAAAAACAAAAACTCCGTTAAATATAAAAAAAAAACATTGATCAAATGTTGTGGTGATGATCGCACCCTCATGCTTGCATCTCAAGCATGAAGGAGCGGATAGACAACCTAGTTAAGACGATTATCGTGCTGCATCTTACCTCATTGCGTAGCATTGCGTGGCAGGGCGCATATTTTAACGTTGTATGCTAGCGAGCGACTTTTATGCTTAAGGGCTCGTACACAAAACTGCGATGCGATGCGAATTCGCAAAGTAAAAAATCACGATGCGAATTGCTGCGATGCGATTTCGTGCGACAAGGCGTCTCCCAAGATGGCCATTCCTTTGACGACCATCATCCGTACTAAACTTATTTTAAATTGAATACTAGGTCGTGACATGGATCGTAAAAAGAAGTGTTCACTTCTGTTATGGCTTAGGAGATACAGGAAAAAGAAACAAAGAAGATTTTGGGAAGATAAAATTTTGATGCGCGATGCGAATCAATTTGCAAGTTCTTGCGTTGTGTAGAGGGAGCTCGCACATTTTTGCGATGCGACGTCGCATCGCAGTTTTGTGTACGAGCCCTACTTATATGTTCTGTGCTACTAAATCATATTTTTTTGCACAAATAAACTTTAAAATACTTTTTTATGGAAGATTCACGTTTTCAACAAAAAAAAAACAATATTATATCCCCATGAATTTAATCAACCTTGCGTTATAACCAAAACAATCAAGAATGAAAACTTAACTGCTTAAAATATATATTCATCTCTACTATCGATCTATACCGACGCTACGCGAGTACTAAGATTTCTTTTATTTATAGTCCGGACTATCTATCAAAAACACAATAAAATACCTAAGCCAGGCTGGATGTCTGCTTAGGTGTCCTCAAATGACGTAACAGTATATTAATCAAATCAAAATAAACAAAATCGATACAGATAAAATTCGCTACAACTATAAATTGGCAGAAACTTTAATTACAAAACATTTTAAGCAAAATGTCAAAAATCCCTAACGAGGCCATGGATTCAACTTTTGCAATAAATTACTCTTATACAAAGTACAAAACTGCGTTAATTATACTTATTATATTTTTCTCAGACAAGGTGACCGTTGTTGTAAAAATAGGTCAGACAAAAATGTTGTAAGATTATCCTCACTATTAGTCACCTTTTTATTACGACTATTAAGGTATAGCGGTTTTAATAATTAGATAATTCATATTTTACATTTACGAACATTTGCATACACTTCCACATAAAATTAAGCAATATTTCATTCATTCTTACCACCTATACTTACAAAGAATAATAGAGTATTTGTAACAATAATACAAAAATACAATTCGTACAAAAATACTTATATTTATGCTATTTGCTTCAGGGGTTTCAAAGTATTTATTTTGTCTGACCCATAGCTCTCTAGATGGCGTTGGGGTCGAATTGAATCGCGCTATGGTTTCGTTACACGCGCTGAAGTATACCCCCGAGCCGATACGGGACTTGTACATACATGTAGATTTCCACATTTAATTTAAACAGTTTGTATAGATTATCGTGAATTTTTGTATACGAGGGGTTCTCGCACCAAGTGCGGCTCTCCTTGTAGGAAAGGTAGGAAATCACTTAAAATAATTCTGTTTTATTTACCAACTATGCCTTTTGTCAATGTCAACTAATCACTAACTAACAATCATCTGCAATCATCTAATCTATGTCAACTGTGACAATAGCAATGCAAGTATTAGTTTTTCTACAATCATATTAAACTTTGTTTAAGTAATGATGAATTTAAAACTTTATTAAAAATTATTTAATTTAACTTTAATTTTATTTAAAATATTCGTTCATGTTATTTAATAACTGTGGAATAATCTGTCGTCGGCGGTATTTCCGAACCGATACGACCTTCAAACCTTCAAGAAGCGTATTCCTTTTTAAAAGGCCGGCAACGCACCTGTGCCTCCTCTAGTGTTGCGGGTGTCGGGGCGGCGCTGATCGCTTACCATCAGGTGATCCGTCTGCTCGTTTGCCTCCTATTCCATAAAAAAATACCTTTTTTACATTTTAACCCATATACTTTGATAGGTAATAAAACTAGCTATCACCCACAGCTATTCCGAAATATCATCCCTTACCAAGATTTACTGAGTAACTCGTATTTATTTGTTTTAAGGTCCTGTACACTTGTATGGGCATAATATGTTGTATATAAATAGGGGTCGAAACACCTTTGTAAAATGTTCAAAATTCCTGTAGCACGTATATTTGTTTTTTTTTACTTTTTACAAAATATTGTTTATTTTACTTTAAATCTATGCAAATTTTTTCGAAAGTACTAATTTTTATTTATTTCGACTAGGCTAATAGGAAATAGAGAATTAGGAAAATAAGGTTTATTTATGCTATATTGACTGCCAACGTTCCAGGAAACTTTGTTATTAAGTTTTAACGTTCAATGTCCGATCAACATTTCTATGGTTAAAAAAAATATAGAGGTAATAATGTTTTTAAAGTTCAATGTCCGATCGACATTTGTATGGTCAACAACAAAAACATATAATAAGCCCGCAGCGCACCTTGAGGTGAGGCATTAGTGACCCCGCGGGCTACCATCATCCCAAGTGGCCCAGGGAGAAGTCACCGTTCCTTATTTTCCGGCTTACTTTAATTGGCTAGCTGGAGTGAACGACGACAAGGAACAGATCTCCCACCTCTGGCGTGCCTTTATTGGCCGTTCAGGGTGTAGTCGCGAAAGCACTGATCCTGCTCGAAGGGTTCTTACCCCAATTTAAAAAAATTTTTAATATCTGTGCAATGCATATAATTTCCACTACAGTTAAAAATTGAAAAAATTAATAAATCTATTTGCAATAGAGGATCCTGAAGTCAATGTTATTCAATTGTCAACGATTTAATCAACATATTCTCTAACTGGCTCGTTTCCCATGTTGCGTCTTACTACATCCCACGTGCCTTTAACATTGTTTTGTGAGTATGTGATATGCTTGGTTGCATATTGACTGTAGGTTTTTCATACACTTTTTTAATAATTTTGAATACTTATGCTTTCTATTTCGTTTTATTTGGTAGAGATAATTTAGTAATACAGCTATTTTTTTATTTGTGTGCTTAGGAAGCAAAATTTATAGAAGAGGTTAAATAGTTCATGGAACTCATCGAATGCTTCTTTGGTAATTCCCTAAATCATAAATATCATTAAAACTTGGCTTATACAATTTTTTTTAAATCTCTTGTTTTATTTCTCTTTGTACGAACGATTAGATGTCGTGGTGGCCCGAAGGTTTAAGACTCCCCGCTTCAAATGCATGGGTGCTTGAACCTTCTCCGTGTGAGAAGAGACAGTGGGCATTTATAGGCTGTTGAGGATGATGATGAATATTACAATCAGATAGGCAACAGTCAAATGTTAACAATAGGTAATATTGTATTTCTATACCACACATTTCAAATCATATTCTACGAACCTAAAATTATTAATTGAATAGTAAATTCTCACAATTGTTCCATACTAGTGGCTTTAATTGCGTAACTGTAATGAAATGTGGCCTGTATGCTATTTCAAGCTATAATCTGTACAGCTTTGAGCCTATATTTATCCCGATTGTCCAGCCGAAATGTACAACAATGGATAAATCCATTTGTGTTAGTTTCCTCTATTTTTAGATCAACAACAATGAGATGTACTAACTGAAACTAGTGGGTATTTAATCTGGAGCTAAGGACAACCAAGTGGGCTACCGGGGTGTCGGTTTGAAGAAAGAATAGGAACGGGGTGGTATTTAGTAAGTTACAGTCTGACGCTTTCTTCCGCCTCACTCAAGGCAATAGACAATTTATGATTTTCTTCTTTTGGAAAGAAAGTAGGTAGGTACTTAATATGTCCCCAAGTACCGGTCGCAGCGAAGCGCTGCCTCCTCACAATCCTACTATCGCGAAGGACACTACGACTATGACTCGGCGCCGGAATCGCAGGACGATCTCTAGCCACCGCAAGCACGGGTCTGCGGATTCATTCGATGATATACATACATAACTTTACGCCTGTCTCCCATGAGGGTAGAGAGAGACTATGGAAAGCCATTTGATGACATTCCCCCCTTAAAAAAGTACCTTACGCTTACCTTTTTCCAGCCTAAATTATACATATGTCATTGTTTTTCTGGTACTACAATCGATAAGTTAAGTACAATGTCTTTTTGGTACGTAGCTATTATAAAATACATACCTGTCTCCTGGCCATTGATTGACCATGCCAAACAAGACAGGATTAGGTTACATATCAGCGTCTGAAAAGAAGGTAAACACATCATTAATTAGGTACATAAAACATATGTTAACTATCCTTGACAAAGAGGAAGTTCGCTTGTTCGTGTCCACACACTAATTCGTTCGCATGTTACGGAAATAAAAGGCGTTCGCCTTTTAATAATTCCCGAAAATAAGAAAACTACATATTTAGTACACACCTGTGTCCACCTTTCCATGTTTTAAATATCTTACATTCATGCAATTCGTACGAATAAGCGAACTTACCCTATTTGGCATTTGTTCATTGCGGGACTATATTACACCTCTTAATCTCCAAAGGAGTCGGCAGAGGTGCGCATGTTACATGTATAGTAAGAAATATATCCAAACACAAGCTCAAGCATTGTCCTAAACTTAAGTATACCTCTTTTGCAAATGTAGACATTAGTATATAGTCACAAAACACGAAACATAAGATGTAGGTCACAAATCTTAAAGATTTTATTGAATTTCGCGATAAGCAAGTAAAGTAAAAGCTTAGAACTTAATTACTCAATTCAATTTGTAAAACATCTTAATTGTACGTACAAATTCACACTGAACACCAACAGTCCTTTAATCACGAGTGTGTATGACTCACACAAATAAACAAAAAATTAAACAAAACGCATAGCCCTATCTGCATACCACCACCAAAATAAATCGACCTCTCGTTACTAGAGACTCCCCCAACTTTCTAATCCAATGGCTCAACTAAGGAAGGGGTCGAGAGGTCAAGTTACGTTGCGGTGTAGTTTCAGTCGCACACGCAACGCGCAGGGGGTGACTCACGAGTCAGGGCGCATTGTGTCGTAAAACGATCGTAATAAACTAAGGAACTCCGATTAATAAGATTTTTTAATGAACATGTGGTAGTTTTATTTGGATTAGAAATTAAAGAATTAAGGAAAAAGATTTTATTAGATTAATTAATACCAATACAAAAGGTGGATTGCTCCAAAATAAAAATCCAAAAGTACATTAAAACACGCTAGTTACTAAAATCAATAAAAAATTGATAATATAATAGGTATTCTTATTAAGCCAAGAAGACGTTGGGATCTTGGGAACTTCGTAAATCCGTACAAGGCATAGAATAATAATTGGTTAGTTGACAGAATACGAAAATTAAAAATCATTTAATAATTATTAACTGATGTTAGATAATAAGAAAATATTAGACACGCCATTTCTTATTTTGTCATACAAGAAAACAATACTTAGATAAAACGTATTTCAGTTTAGAATTGGGAGGTCGCTACGTCACACGTTTCTGTAGCACGTCACACGATATTTAGAATCAATATATCGCCGAAAATTTGTAAATCTTAATTATTGCTTAATATTAAAAAAAGAAAGAAAGTAAAAAAAATAGTTATGCATATTTAACACGTTGAACGCCATGGGGGTCACCGGTGACCGGCGTTAGCGGAGGGTTTGCCTTCAACAGTTTTTTATTGGCAGTCAAAGTCTTAAGCATATTTTGCATGCCAATAAACGGGCAAAATGTATACGGCCATATTATAAATCTGTGAGAACCTATTTGTAAACACCTACATTTTATGCAAATAAATGATTTGATTTGATTTGAAAGTATTTATTTTGTAAGAAAAGAAAAAATACGTGTCTAATGTTTTAACGTAATCTACCAAATGAATATTAGAAATATTAGGAAACCCCTATGAGTTACAACAGGTCATGATTCATGGCACAACGTAACCCAATTGTGAGAACACTTTGAACAGCTCTCATCACTCATTAAAATATCGCTTAATTGATCACACGATGCACTATCCATTACGTGGAATTACATTTAAAGTAAACATAAGAAAAATGTCGGGCATATATTTTAATAAATATCGTTAAGCTTCACTAGAAGTACTTTTACCAGATAAAAGCTCGTTCGTATATTTCCATCGTGAATTCAGTAGTGCTCTCATATTATATGATATTTTGTAATGAATACAAATATTCCGAGAAACTCCTAAAATCGTTAAACTGTGACACACATTTTCCTTCTGTACGTGACCCCATTTTACTTTCCATCGACATTTTTATTAATTATAAAAGTATATGAATACAAAATAAACAAAACTAACATGAAGCGAAGAATCGGTGTAGGTAAATTAATACTGTATGCTTTTTAAGGCAAGGTTTAATATTGGAAAAATGTTTTCACAGTAATCAATATCAGTAATCAAATACAGAGATATCTCTAATAAATTAGGTATGAAAACTGAAGCCCCAACATAATATTGCAACGATCTTTGAATTTTATTTTTAATACAAACTGACTACAATTCTGTACTTTGTATTTTTTAATATAAAGTGTTTGTTCATTTCAACACGTTAATATCCTAAACTACTGGCCTGAATGGAATAATTCAATGGATGATAGACAGTCCATTTACCGAGGAAGTCTACATCACGGTACAATCAATAGGAGTAAACCTTTTTGGGCGATGATAATCATCCAATGACTTCTCCCACCTTGAGTGAAGTAAGAGGAAGATTAATGAGATATCCAGAATAATCAATATTCGATTCCTCATCATTATCATCATGTCAGCCACATGACGTTAATATGTACCTTTTTTCCATTTATGTGTATTTTCTAAGATTATTTAGACACTGGTGGTATACGGAAGGAAAACATCGTGAGGACCCCATGGCTGTACGTTTTGAATCACCAATCTGCCTTGAGTAGGCGTGGTGATTGATTTCCTAACATTCTCCGTGTGAGAAGTGACCTTTGGTCAGCAGTGGGCAGATATAGGCGGGTAATGTGATCTGATATTGATTCTAAGAACTTAGATTATAGATAATCTGAATATTAATTATTAGTATATAATAATATTATTAATTAATTATGCCTCTATATTCACATGAAATTCTACCCACATTAAATATCTACTGATTTTCGTGAAACATATTCGTGATGGATAAGGTATATTAATATTAAATTATTTTTTAATATTCATTTTTAATTTATTTGAAACTAAGTATATAATCAATGAAATCACTACCTCGCTGGCCGAGTGGTCGCAAGTGCGCCTGCCGGGTCTCGGATTCGATTCCCGGGTCGGGCAAAGTATTACTGGGTTTTTTAACAATCTCAGTAGTAGCACGGAGTCTGGAAACGTGCCCGGTATTTGGCATTAGGCTCACCCCTTATTACATGGGACTCTTAACATGAATAGTGACAAGTGGGTGTTACATTATATAGTGGCATTAAGTGCCGTAATGTGCACCTCTGCCTACCCCTTCGGAGATAAAATGGCGTGATGTTATGGCGTATGTATATAATCAGTTTTTGTCAATAGGCTATACAATACAATGCATGTTTGTTGGAAACCTTTGTTTGTACCCCAGTATTCGAGGTACACGATGTTATACCTAATACTATGTGTTTAATAACTATTTCCAGAATTGATCATCGACATTTCGATTGTAAACGGTAATTTATTCTCTACCAAATGACACGTTTCCAAAACTTTTACAAGCTCGCGCAATACTGGTCATATTTTGCTTTATAAAATACTTTTTTTTGGTAGTAAATTCAATTTTGATATGCCGAGAACAAGATCCGTCATTCAATTTAAATAAGATCCCTCTTGCTTAAGTCTAACCATATTACTGTTAACATCTGCAGACAGAAGCATTTGAGCTTAATACTAACTGACAAGAAATCAGAACTTCTCAAATTCGACATCATAAATAGATTTATCAGTCGATTTGGAAAACCAAGGTATCCTAGGAGTAGTCTAAATCTCTGTAAACCCTACATACCGAAATAGGTCCCCCAGAGGAAGTAAGACAGGAGCCTAAGTGTAATTGACAAGCACAAATATAGCTAGACTCGGCTTTTGCAAGCATCAAACTTCACTTATGTATATGTCTGAATTTCCGATGCATAGGTGCACTTAAAATAGAATATCAATATAGTTATAGCAAAAAATGTTGCCTGTATAAAAATTTAATAGGTTCACTAGACCACCTACGACGAGAGCATTGCGTTGCTTGTTAAATAAGTACTATTTTAGATATCGGTAATTGAGTAATTGAATTAACGAATTAAATTTAGACTGCACGGTTGCAGTCACTCGACAGCCCTGATGATGTATCAGTACTTCTCCTTTTTCAGTGTCGTCAGTGTGTTTATATAACATACAAATTTATATACACATCCCACGCAGAACAACTATTTGTGGAACTCACGACACACACGAAAAGTTGTTCCATATGACAATTGAACCCGCATCACATAGCGCAGCAGCAGTAGCCCAAACACGTTTGAAACAGTCGCCAAAGCTTGCTACCAAAAATTAGGAAACTCAAAATAATAAATAAAATATAATGTCCATGGAGTCCTTGTAATTCATTAAACTTAATAAATAGTTTTATGAAACTTCCGAGTATAATTTAATTGAGTTTACGGCTGATTGAGTAACACACATCATCATCAACAGCCTATAAATGCCCACTGCTGAGCAAAGCCTCTTCTCACACGGAGAAGGTTAGAGCATTAATCACCACGCTTGCTCAATGCGGGTTGGCGATTTCAAACTTATAATTAGAAATTATAAGTCCAGGTTTCCTCACGATGTTTTTCCTTCACCGTTTGTCAGTGGTGTCTAAATAATCTTAGAAAGTACATATAACTCAGAAAAAGTCACATTGGTACTTGCCGTTGGTAGGTTTCGAACCCGCACCCTCATGCATGAGAAGAGGGCGTCGTAAACCTCCGGGCCACCACGACACACACATACACACAGAGTAACACACATACACACACATAATTGTATTAAATCTCGGTGTATATGTATGATTGAAGTGAATTTATGTTGGCTATTATTATATATATTACATATTAAATATATATACAAATAATTGAAGTATAATTTAGCATTTCATTAAATAATAAATGACAAACTACCATAATAATACCCACATCTATTGTAGCATACCTACATTGACGAAATAAATACTTAATATTTATATTTGTCGAAATTATGCTTATTTCACCATAAATTGTTGTCGCAATGAATTTAAATTTTGACCGTACTAAAATATTTTTTTTTTTTTCATAATAGTTTAAAAACAATCCGTTCATAAAACATTAAGTTGTTAACAAGCAAACTACGAAAACTTTATTTAATGTTGACATCATTCGGAAAAACTAACGTTGAAAGTGCAGCACTTCTTCATATTAATGAGATATTTGAAAATCGCTATAAAACAAAATGTATCTAAGTGAACTCACCAAAGACTTCATATCGGCTACTTTTCTATAAATAAACAAATTTTAAATTAATTTCGAAGTGCACACGTCTGGTCGCGGCGGAAACTTTCGACGGAATAAAGTTTGCAGCCCACCTCGTCGACGGAAGGCCAGGTAATGCAGGCGGGGGCGCGAGCAGAGGGTGGGACAACCCTACACCTCACGTCGAGCCCTGCATTTTTATCGATAATGACAGTATGAGATATTTTTTAATACTCTAGCGACTTACATGTGAATATATCATAGAGGATTCTTCTTCTATAAATATATATTCTACGGTAGTGTACTTTTAACAATCATTCAAATATTAAATCGTATTATTTTTAATACGATTTCGGAAGTTACGGGTAAAATGACAGATCACGTAATTGGTCGTTGACTGATGGTAAGCAATCTGCGCCACCCCTGGAAACCCGCAATATCAGAGATGTTACAAGTACATTGCCAGCCTTTTAGGAGGTACCTCCTCTTCATAGCTAAATGGGGGGAGAGAAATAAGGCCTCCTGTAAACTCATTCACACATTGAAACAACGCAAGATAGGCAGGAACGGTGGCAATTTAAAAAATTTTTTTCTAAAATCTCATAGGCTATAACCACTAAAGTTTATACTTTGCAAGAGAAGCAGAAATATATTGAATTGAAAAATCTTAATTTTTTAGTTGAACTATGCACCCTCACTAAACCATTTCACGCATTCAAGGGTATATTCATTCAAACAGTAAAATATCAGGCTTTATTACAGTAGGTGTACGATTATAGTGTTTATTAAGAAGGTAACAAAACTACATTTTCTTTAAATTATTTTAGAGCGTCTATCGTTTTTCGAAATATAAACATGCGTTAAGTAACCACCAGCGTTAAATGGTCTTTGATGTCGTTCAACTGTACTACGTTTGGGGATCAGGGTAAACGAGTAAGACTATGGTTCCCCCAACCATATCGCAAGTTCATTAAAACCCTTTTAATGAAATGTGCATACGTGCAATTACATTTTGGAAGAACTCGTAGGAGGTGAGTGTTCTAAGTGGATTACATACTGGGAAGCGAGGGACAAAGAAATACTCGGAGTTTTTTTAACACGAAACGCAGTTTTATGATGAAGTGTTCATTGTTTGGGTGCCTTTATACTCTACTACGATTTTTTGTTGAGCGTAGGTGAACGCTAGTGAACGCACGGGTAATAACAAGCGCCTGGCGCGATACCGCTTTGAAAGTTTAATATAACATTGAGCCTATGAACTTGGTCAAAATAGAATCTGAATAGAAAGTTCTTATTCTCTATTCAATAAATTGTAGTAAAGCAGTGAGTAGATTTTTTCGCTCACCTTGCTACTCGATATGAAGTCCGTGCCAAGTAACCAACAAGACTAGTTTTAATTAATTTTTACTTCCTTTCGTCAGGTTTGAATCAAATCTATACTAGCCCTACTGTATATACAACACTAAATCAATATTAGGGGAAATAATTGGGGCTGTACTGCAGCCCTTGTTAGCAAGTTAAGATCATTATGGTTTCCATGTTCTGTGAAGCCAAGGCCATCAATAACCTTTGTGTCACAGGGTTCCTGGAAATGCAGATCCAATTATATCGGAGCAAACACGTATCGGTTCCCTATATATAGGTCCTTTGAATAATAATAATAATGTTCAGGTATTTGTTTGAAGTTGCCTATCTTGTTGGAGAGTGTTGCGACTTTGCGAGTACCCTCAGGGTGGACTCTCTCGGTAAGTTATTCTTGGTATAAATTATCGCTTGATTTTCAACAAAATCGTAATAAATACAGAATCTGGAATTACTGAAATTTTCGCCCCATGAGACTCATTACAAAAATCTGATGAAGTTTTTGTACGTACATTGTAGATGTGCATATTGGACATGTGGACCTCGGCTTTACCCTACGAAAATGAAAAGCCAAATTCTGTATGTATGTTATGTAGTTCAAACATAGGTATCTAATAAGTAGCTGAGCCACGTGTCAGAGTTATCTATATAAATAAAAATGAATTGTCGTTCGCTTTAGCGAGACTATCGCTAAAACTCGAGAATAGCTGAACCGATTTGGCTAATTTTGGTCTTGAAATGCTCGTGGAAGTCCAGGGAAAGTTTAAAATGTGAAAAACAAATTTTTAGGCGGTACGTAGTTTAGCGAGTCAGTTAAGGCTTAATAAAATAGTTTCTAAGACCCCATCGATATCTGTCATGGTGGCTAGTCTATCTAACTACCACGCAAGAGATAGGTATTATAGTATAGGTGTACTCTCTGTTCCTTGAATCTTATAATCCGGTGAAACGGTAGACCGACACGACCGGAGAGGTGTCCGGCGGCTGAATTAACCGCCGTACGTGCTTCCCAAAGTACAGAGGAAGAAATACCGCCGAATGTCCTAATTCTGGGCTGATAATGGTCATTTTAACCGACCTAAAAAAGGAGGTTCTGTATTGGCCTATATGTATGTTTGCCCGCGTTTATTTCGAAATTGGCTGAACCTAAAATAGGTTATATTATAAATATATTTCAAAATTTGATATTGAATTTTTGAAAATTGTTTCAGCTGGTTTTGGTATATTACCCAGCTTTATTATTTATTAAATGACTTCAAAAAAGAAGTAATTTGTAGTCGGTTTTTTATATACCTTAAGTAGGTATATAAAAAACCGACTACCGGTTTATTGTTGTTTGTTTATAATATTAGAAAAAGTAGTAATGTCTTTCTAACACGGTTTTATCAGGACATCCTTTAGACGAAATACGTTAAAACAGCTAATAAAAATTTGATTATACATACATAATAGACATATAGATTAGATGACCCTACAATGTTACGTTACCATCCAGGTATGATTTTGGATTTTGATTCGACTATCTGCACTTAAAAAATCACGTCAGTTCGTCGCCCCGTTGTGCCATTAAAAACGGACAAATGAACAAACACACATATTCACATTTATATTATTAGTAATTGTACGTTTACAATATGGATATTTTATGACGCAAAAATAGTGTAACTTCTAAATATCGAATAAGTGTAATAAAATAACACTTTATTATTTTTATTTTCTTAATTTTTGGATTGATCTGTTTATTATAAGTATTTAACTACAACAAAATCATTTCCATTTTAGCTACATCCTGACGCAAAGGAAAAACAAATGTATAAAAATATGAATAGTCTTTTAATAATTATAATACAAGTCTGCTTGTTACCTTTACCCATTCAATCAGTTTGCATTGTCAACACATCTAATCAAAAGTATCAAACGACGCAATTACATAATTACATCAAAAAACATCAATAGGACAGACATGTTAGGTCAGTACATGTCAATGGAAAACCGATTTAATTACAACAGTATTAAGGTACGATGTTTAAAATGAGGGGTGTTGATAGGGGTGCATTAAACGAGGTGAGCGAGTGAGTCATCAAAATGAATCACGAATAAGTCGATCGAAATTTTTGTTCGTAGAACTTAGTATACGGTTTTTTCATATTATCTTAGTCATTATTGCGTTAGATATTATTGTTATGACTAGGATTAACTAAAGTTCTTGTCCATTATTATACCTAAATATTCCACGCTGCCATATAATAACTATACATAGTACAATGCAATAATAACTATTCTACTTCTTGTCGATTTCGCGAAGCGAATAAATTCGCAAGTTCTTGCGATGCGTAGAGAGAGCTCGCACATTTTTGCGATGCAACGAGAGCCGGTATAGGAACAAAATTAATAATTTGCCTCGTAATCAAAAAAAAAAACTTATTTTTAAACGTTATTGCATTGTGTTCATGACGTCGCGCGTTCGCTCATAACTTTTAAAATATCTGACTGTGAATCAGATATATTTTGTTTGTTATCAATAGTTATCAAATATTAATGTATTATTTTACTTTCCTACAAGGTTAGTAAAAAAGGTCACAGTTAATATGCATGGGGTCATTGACCCGTTGTATTAACCAAAACGGGTACTCCTTCGATTATTATTTCTGAGATATTTGTAGGTACTTTTTTAATTAAATTTTATCCTGAGTATATGTATTTTTATGGAGTAGAAGGCAAACGAGCAGACGGATCACTTAATGGTAAGCGATCAGCGCCGACAATGTACACCCGCAACACCAGAGGAGTCACAAGTGCGTTGCCGGCATTTAAAAAAAGAATACGCTCTTATCTTGAAGCTTTGAAGGTCGTATCGGTATGTATAATAGAATTAAGAAGAAGAAAGAAAGAAAAACAGTTTATTTGCACCATTACAGAAAAAACAAGAAAAAAAATAGTAAAAAAAGCAGCAATATACACAGTGCAAAAAGGCCAGTGCACAGCTGAAATGCCGTGTCACGAGCGCGATTACTCGAGTCGCGGCGCTGATTTTCAGCACTAGCCTGTAGCTAAAATCTCATACAAATTAATAAAATATAATAATAATAAAAAAAAACAGAATAGAAACATGTAATATATTTCCTAATCCTAACGATCACTGAAGTATTTTATTAAAACAGGTATGTATTATTTATGAATTTGATTGGATTTTGACAGTCTGACATTAGCTACTGAGCTACCCCAAGCGCACGCGACGATGCGGTAATAAACAGCGGTAAATAACGGCATTCTTTGAACGGGACTAGGAATGCCAAATTATATATTTCCCCAACTGAATCATCACGTCGTGACTTGGAACATCACACCATCCTAGGACGTTGAAAAAAGGCGCACATAAAACCTTAGTTAAATAATTAAAGCACCAAAATGTCAGTGGTTTGTTTACATGTGCGTGTGTGACCACGTTACGAGACTTAAGAAAATATTAGATGTCCTTCGTATCAATGTGTTTATGTTCTTGGTGTAGCTGGGTGCTATAGTAGCCAGGTGCCACTGTCGTTTCAAGACATCCTTGAAGCCATCTGGTTAAAGGCCCCAATTTGAAAAGGTACAGGTTTAGAAGAGAGCGCTGTTGCCCAGTTCTGAGTATTCTGTCATATTATAGTCTGTCACGGCCAAAATTAACAACCGATCATCTTCCAAAATCTCTGAATTATATGGCCTGTCGATATATGGCCGGAAATTCATACAGTTAAGTAATAAACATAACATCACGCCTTTTATCCCCAAAGGGGTAGGTAGAGGTGCACATTATGACACTGTACAATGTAACACCCACTTTTTACTATTTATGTTATGAGTCCCATGTAATAGGGGGTGAGCCTATTGCCATATACCGGGCACAATTCCAGACTCAGTGCTACTACTGACAATTTTTAAAAACCCAGTAATACTTTTCCCGACCCGGAAATCGAACCCGGGACCCCTTGCCCGGCAGTCGCGCTTGCGACCACTCGGCCAACGAGGCAGAGGCAGACAGTTAAGTAATGTAGGTATAAAATCGAGCCCAATCCAAAATTATTTGACCTATCACAAACAATGAAATTAATAAAATTTTTGCGTATGTTATTTTGTGTGACCTTGATGTAATCAAGGTGAACGCAATGAAATTTTAACGTTGCTGGGTTAACCATACTTACTTCTTGTTGTTGCTTACCATAATTTATACTCTTTGTCGCCAAAAAGTATGTAACCACCAAATGTTATTTGTCATGTAATGACTTTTAAATGTTGTACATAAAACAATCATCTCATCTTATTTGTAAAAAATATTAAAACACAAAAATGCAATACTTCACATAGTAACTAAACAGTATATGTGGTTAAAATTCGCCAATGTAATATAAACAAAGTATACAGAGACTGGACATGAAAGGTAAAGGCTAACCATATTTCTGTACATAACACACATAATTCAATTATCGAATTTTCTTAAGACTTTTACATAGTATTGGTTTATATACTTTATACCGAAAGTTTTATGAATAATTTCTCTTTCTCAATCTAACTCTTTAGCATTTTTCTACGGTCAGATGTAGGCCTGCTTTGGTTTTTATCATCTCTCTCCGACTTGAGCAGTTCCCATTCACTTCATTCCAGCTGTACGTTTGATATCATCATACCAACAATGAATAATCTATTAATTCAATATACTTGAATAATACACTATGATACATTTACTATAAAACAATTATTGTAATGCGAGATTCAGATTTCAAACTATGAAAAACTTCAAATAAAAACCTTAAACTATCGTCTAAAGAAAATACATCGAAGTGTCAGAGTACGAATTGGCCTCATACATAGATCATTGCATACCATTTCATTTTATAACCGTATAACCTTTAAATACAGACCCATATATAGTTTACATTGACTTTTCATTACCTACCTAAATGCCCCTGAACAATTTTGGAGTTATTTATAAATGCCAATACAAAAGAATTTAATTTTACAAGTGACAAGAGATGATCATTCTTTAAATGGATTTGTTACAGCAAAATTTGGCAATAAACATTCACACTCAGAATTTATAACGAAGATTATACTAAAGATGACTGAAGAATTTATAACAATGCCATAACACGACTTTATACAACAAATCCAAAGCTGTGAATCTAAAACTTCAGTAGAAAAAGAAAGTTCTAAATCAAAAGAAAAAGCAATAACAGTAACAATGGAACATCTACTTCCATCTCATGGTAAATTACCTTCAGACGAGAAGTTTACAGATAATGTTTGTACTGAAATATATTACAAATCTACATATAAATATGACACTGGACTATTACAACTAGTTGAAGCAGAAGCACCAAAAGAGAAAGAACATATTTTAAAAGGGTTAAACGAGTTATCCGTGCCGTTACGGAAGGAGCGGACATGCTACGAGAAAGCTATCAGCATTAAAAATGATTCATGGTCTGCTAGACCCCAGCTTTACGCTAGACATAAAGTATATTTTACTGTGTCTCATAGAGGTAGCAAATATAAAGAGGTAAAATCAGGAATAGTTAAATTGACACCAAAACAAAAAATAAGAAATTCAAAAGCCACTGACTTAGTACTACATACAGGCAGAGTTCTGCAAACTAATGTGAGAATGCCATCTGAAATAAAGTTGCTAGATAAAGTGCACCCTGAGATTAATCTCTTATCTGAATCCACAACTTCTGCTACAAGAGGCAAACATGCAAAATCTATAGAACCTGGTGTGCCTGAAACACACATATCCGCTAAAAGAGGGTCGGAAAAGTCTGTGATTTCAGTTAAAGTAAAAAGAAAGACTACATCAAGTATTACATCTAAGAAATCAAAAAAAAGCAAAAGCAAAGCAACTGAACTTGTAACACTCACCCATACAAAAGAAAACCCACTAAGAGAATTAACTGATACTGGTCTACCCTTTCCCAACGAAAGTATTTCTTCTGGCAAAACATCAATAATAAAAAAGCTTAAAAAAACTAAAGCTTCCGGTATTTTAACACCTAAAGTAGGCAAACCACCGCAGAAAGAAAAAGCATTTCTAGGCAAATCAACTGCTGGTCTTCGACTAACAATCGTAAATAAACCCGCGTCAGTAAGAGCTTCGATACAAAAGAGCAAAGAAGACATTGGGCCTCTTTCGCCAATAGAACGATTGCAAAAAGATTATGCTGCTGGTGTAAAAACGCCATTGAGTGGAAAAACTCCATCAATGAAAGAAAAATATGTAGAAAACATGTTAACTTCAGCATCATCAGCACCAGATTTACGACTGCTAAAAAAGCCAAAATCGACATATTTGACAGAAAATACTGAAAAATTGTGCGAGGCACAAACGCTCGGTCATGTAACACAACTCGAAAAAAAAATACCAACGCAAAACATTCCTGGAAGTCTAGCTGGTACTAGACTGCCTCTACCGATAGGGAGAATACTTCCTCCTACTACAGAGAAAGTATTGATGGTGAAAATAAAGCCTCGAAAAGAATCTAAAGTGCCACTCAAGAATATCAAAAGAGTCGCTGGCTTACCTACTCCGATGGAAGGTCAAGCGGCAGCTTTAAGGGAAAATATTCTAAGAGGTCAAGGCGAAGCTGGAATGCCTCTATCAGAAAGCAAAACATCATGTGACAATTCTCCAGTATACAAAATTAAAACTAAGTTAGTTACACCACATACAAAAACATTATGTGTACAGACAAAGTCGGAAGAATTTTCAACGCCTTTTACTGGCAAACTTGAGAAAGATCTGGTGAAGAAAACTGTGGCTGAGACAGGTTTACCGCATATGGCATATGCAAATACATCAACTGAAAAAATGAGAAAACATAAAGTCAAGGCAAAAAAGTTGGGTGTAATAAATGCAAAAACGGCAAAAGCTTTTGAAAAACGAATAGGAACTGAAGAATTTCGAGTTACTGTCAAGACAACCTGCGAACGTGGCTGCGGTTGTGACAAAAAGAAAATTAAATTTAAAAATAGTTACATTAAAATTAAACCAGCAACCCCAGACATATCTTTCGGTGATTGTTCTAATAAGGATTATAACACTGAAAGCTTAATAAAAAATGGAGGCATTCGGTTTACTATAGGGTCAGCTGTTGGTGTACCTTCGTATTCAAGAGAGGCTTTAGTGAATAACATTTCACAAAAAGAATTACTTGATGAAATATATTTCAAATATGGAAGTGTTACTACTAGTAAAACAGGTGACGAAATTTTAAAAAATAACTTAAAAAATGTCACGCATTTCCCAAATAAAGAGTTTAACACCCGTAACGATGAAACTCAAGCAACTAGTGATATGATACTCTGTTCGTTTAACACATCAAATTCTGATGGAACACATTGTGTTTATACTATAGCACATACATCTAGTGATAATGTAGGAAATGATATCGGTAATTCAAATAACCAGATTTCTTATAAAGAAGAGGAAGAGGATCCTTGCGAATATCTTAAAAAAAATATTTTTAGATTGTCAAGTAACATTTACCAAGAACCATTGTCTAATGAAACTTTCTCATCAAAAATCATGTCCCAGTACAATTCAGAGTCCTTAATTCTAACAAGTACTAGTCCTACACTATCAACCTCTAATGGTACTATGGATACGTCAAGTTTTCTTTCATTTACGAATAGTGAGAGCTCTTCAACTCGCTCTATTCATTATTTCGGTTGCCAGTTATCCGACGATCTTTTCAGTGATCCTAATACTGACTCAAATACTGACGGCTCAAGCTACGCTTTGAATAAAGGTCTGATACCAAAAGTAAGGTAAAATAAAGATTATTTGATTTATAAACATTTGATGGGTCAAACCTTGCTACGAGTGGATGCCGCTTTCTATTTTTCATCGTATTTTTCTGTCGTTACAATTTCCAGTTCCATTTTCATTTCAATTTTGTTTTATACATAAAGTTATTTCACACAACTAATTTCAATATTTTAATTTTCTATGCATTGTTTCCTTTTTTATTATTTATTTAAGTTTTTGTCGTAAAAAAGGCAAAATAACTTTGTAACTAGGATATATTTTTATAGGCATTTAAAAGGCAACGAAGGTCAAATTAAGTCAGGTCGTCAATAAGGTCGGTTCAACCTATCTATAGATTACAAAATTATCACGCTATCTAGGCTACGCTACGAGGAGGAGCTGTGAATCTGGAAAACTATCCAAATTCACTATTCCTCGTGGAAGAAGACGCGGGCATAGATGAATTATCTACATAGTATCTTCCAACCTACTATTAAACTACCTAATAAACTAAAATTATAAAAATATTTAACTGGGATAGAACGACACGTGATTTTTGATCTGTTCAAATAAAACTCCAACCAACCTCTACTAAATTTTAAGGAACGCCTAAGCTAAGATCACATTCGACATCATTTTAGTGACATTTAACGTCATTTTGGTTTTCACCAATCTATAAGTAACCTCTACCTGTACAAGCAAAGGTTTAATTTACATAGGTGCTACGTCTGCTAAGTAACGTATAGTTATGAAATCGAATGGAAGTGGTTAGTGAAAATGGCGATAGAGAAGCTTAGTTATATTTCAAAAAAGTTATCATACCTATGTTTATTTATATTTTCAGTTCCAGTAACACTCCCTCAAAAGAATCTATAATATGCAACGAGTACTTAGATGTCATACCAATATATGCAAGGAGAGATCGATACGTATACCAAATTTGCAGAATGTCCGAGAATGAAGTAAATCCATTATTTGAAAATAAATGTACACATATGAATAAAACTAGAAATGGAGAACCGATTGTAGTCATAAATCATTTGAATAGTGATCGTGACATAATGACGATAGTTGATGAACTGTTGGCAAAAAACCATTTTTCTGGAGTCTCCTCCATATTTGTTCTTGTACCTTCGGAAGACAACGATGGTTCTTCAGATTCTCTTAAGTCTACTATCTACAAACCAGTAATTGGAAATAAAACTCGTGGAGGTGATAATATTAACTCCTCGGTAGATACCGGTGAGTCATTTCTACTAAATATACTTAGGTGAAGATTACGACTTCTGAAATTTTTGACGCTTTTAGCTACTTTTAGCAGCTTAGTCACATAACTATTTGACGAGGAACTCGACTGATTCAACTATGGTTTCAAACTGCACGCCAAAAGGATATAACGTCTCCGTACAAACGAGAACGAAATTCTTCCCGCCGCGGAAAGTATACTCAGCAAAGCTACTTAGTACACAGTAAGAAAATAACAATTTATTTTGAGCAGAAATAACAGTTGTTGTCATACTAAATTGTATGCTTTACAATGAAACTTAGCAATCATGGGTCGGTTCAGGACCCAAAAATGGTTACTGTCTCTGTACTGAATCAATCTTTACTTTCTTACCTGTATACCAAATAACTAGGCTGACTGTATTGGAGGTTGAGTGCGAATACCAACACAGATAATGGTTGGGCAATACTATCTAACTGGAAGCCGAGTCTGAATTCTGCGTCAGCATATAATATCTCTCACTGCACTCACTGTGTCACACGCCAGAGTGTGATACAGTGAGCGCAGGATTTAACACTGTTTGAGTCTATCTGCGAACCCAACACCTAAGGCGTCGCTGGCGACCAAGTCTAGCATGCGCCAACGTACCACCGCCGTCACAAGTAGAAGAAAGTGTGAATGAGCCACGCCAGAGGGCGCGCAAGGCGTTCAACCTTGAGTAGTCAGTTGCTGACTCGATGTTTGCCGCATCGCATCATGTGTCGCGTGACGCTACTCATGAATATAACCCTCTAGTGTGGCTTGTAACTAGTCGAGTTCTTCGTCAAACAGTTACATAAGTAAGCCTTTTACCATAACACTGACAGTAAATAAATTTAAAGATGTGCCACGAAGAATTTCAACCACAACACACAATTTAAAAGTTTCCGCAAAGGGAAAAAAATTCTTGATGGAGAATTTGCAAAAGACTGTACTATCGTTTCATAACAAGGAGACTATGTTTGATTCCTTGAAGACATGGACATTTTCAAAAAGACATAAAAACAAATTGTGTCAGATCACAACACCATTACCAAATGAGAGAGGGGCAAACACGGATAGAGACCTGGTGAATACGGAAACGAATGTCAATCTACCCTACTGCTGCTGTTTGAATCACCATGAATGCTCACAATTCTGCACTTATGACCCAAACCGACCCCCGACGAATGCTCCGAATGAGATGAATGAACAGAATGAAATTTGGAATCAAGTCGCATCGGTTGTTATCAATCACGGTAAAAATATTTAATTTTTTTCTTTAACTTAATCATTATAAATGTAGAGTAGTTTCAAGTTGTAGAAGTATTTGCTTATGGGAATGGGCCGCTTACTTCTACTTAAAAAAATATCTGAAATATCTTCAATATCTGGTGGAAAGTCAGAATATATATGTGGTTATGATAACCACAATTAAGTTTTTATAAATTTTTGATACACGACGAGTCTTTCTGATTACAAACTTTACAATTTCGAAAACGTAATTTCTAATAATTAAATGCTATTCGACGAAATACACATATGCAATTGATTCCTGATTACGCATATCCAATTATGTAACTTGTTCCCGACCATCACTCGATCCCTATTATATGATACTAGTAACATAAATAGTGGCAGGTCGGTGACCTATGTAATGTTTACACCTCTGCATGCTATTGTCGACTTAGTGGTACCGTTAGATTGTCGCGGAGAACCTAACGGGTAACCGGGGCTCCGGCTCGACGTGCAGGAGAAGGAACGGGGTGGTTTTTAGTCAGTAAGAGTCTGACACTCCCTTCCGCCTCACCCAGGCGGGAGCAGTCATTCGATGATTTTCCCCCCTTAAAAAAAAAAAAAAGTGGTACCGTTAGAGTAGAATACATCTGTCGCCACCCACTTATCAGAGGACTGAACAGCAACAGTTCTGAGTTTATTTCGGCATTTCTTCTCAGAATAGTCAGTAAGAAAATGACGGCCTTATTGTTCGCTTGTAAAACTGACATGTAAAAGTGCTGCATTATAGCCTATTTGCAGAAATAAAAAACACAGCGTCCTCTGATTAACCTCCTGATCCTTTTAACTGATACCTCCAACCGGCCCGCCAAGCGTGTAGATACCTCTTTAGCATAGAAAGTCTTTATAAACCATTTGATAATGATGAATATAATGATATCACATTTTTATGAGGAGTGTGTTACGTTGTGCATGCATCGTATTTACGTTAGTTTTATCTTTTTAGGTGTGAATGCTGAATATATTGATACTTACTTAATACCAACGTTACAGTCACAGCCTAGAAAATCGGCCACGACACTGACTTTGTTTCGGACACAAGCCACGCTGTGTGATACACCACCGTGTAGTAAGCTGCCGCTGCGAAATACTCAACCTCTACGTGATACGCCGCCAAGTAAAAAATTACCGCTACGTAATAATATGCCAACGAGTCATGAAAGGCCACCAGGTCGCAATTTACCGCCGCTTCAAGAAATGCCACCGCTTCATAATATGCAACCGTATCATGAACTGCCACCGAGTCATAGTACACCACCGTTTCATAATAGACCGCCGTGTCGTAATATGCCACCGTGTAAAGAAATGCCACCATGTCAAGAAACGCCACCTTGTCAAAATACGCCGCCGTATCATGAAATCCCACCGTGTCATAATAGACCACCGTGTCATAGTACTCCACCGTGTCATAATATGCCACCGTGTAACGAAATACCACCATGTCAAAAAAAACCACTTTGTCAAAATACGCCACCGTGTCATGACATCGCACCGTATCATAACATCCAACCTTGTCATAATAGACCGCCGTGTGATGCTACTCCACCGTATCATAATATGCCACCGTGTAACGAAAAACCACCACGTCAAGAAACACCACCATGTCAAGAAACGCCACCGTGTCAAAATCCGCCGCCATGTTATGAAATCCCACCGCATTATAATACACCACCTTGTCATAATATACCCCTGTGTCAAGAATTACCACCGTGTCATAACATGCCACCGTGCCAAGAAATACCACCGTGTCAAAATACAGCGCCGTGTCATAATATGCCACCATGGCATAGTACACCGCCGTGTCATAACATGCCACCGTGCCAAGAAATACCACCGTGTCAAAATACAGCGCCGTGTCATAATATGCCACCATGTCATAGTACACCGCCGTGTCATAATATGCCACCGCGTCAAGAAACGCAGCCATGTCAAGAAACGCTGCCATGTCATAATCCACCACCATGTCGCGATTTGTCCCCGCCGCCGTGTTCATCTGACAATCACCATTGCAACGAATCTACCGCTGCAACATGTTCAGAGGTAAAACCATGTGATTGCAATACAGAAAGGTTAAAGGAACTGCTAGAGCAAGCGCTTGGTACGGTAATGTCACAGAATATGAAGTCGGTTTGTATCAGAGATCACAGAGACACTGAGACACAGACACTCAAACGTCCTTCCAGTACTGCAGCTGTAGCCACTAAAACTGAAGGTAATTATTAGATATTGTTTTTGAAATTATACATATGCTTCTATAGTGGCGTCGTTCATTGTGTGTTGGCATATGCGATTCCAAACGCCAAGTTTTAGGTACAATTCTTGTCGGATGAAGTATTTATGGAAATAAGGCTACAAGTTCACGTAGCGACTGGGCAACCGATTACTGTACAGCATGTTGCAATTTCGATGAAGTTCTTTATGTGTTCCATAAATTGTTTTCTAGATCAGGATATGTAAATGTCGTAATTTATATTTGGAAATGCAACCCCGAAAGTCGTAGTGTTTTTATGTGTTTTTATTAATCAACATTTATGTTCACAGGAATAGTAGAAAATTGTCCCACTTGTCGACTTCCTCCTACTGTCGACGAATGTGGTTGTGATCGAAGAAAGAAACGAATAAATCTCAAATCAGTGTGTCCATGCGAAGCATACCAGAGAGCGCGACCACGAAATATACGTGTTCAATCGCCCGACGCAAGTGGCTTAATTCCAATTCGCCAACCAGGACAGACACAGATAATAGGGCCAGCAGGAGAGTCAGGACAGCAAGTCGAAACTGGAAAAATTTACACCCAAGCGGGAAATAAACAAGCTAAACACACCACAACAATCGGTACTTCAACCGACCACGATTTAGATTATAAGAGCAAACGTATAAAGAAAACAAAAAACGTCATATGTGAATGTCCAGTAGAAGTATCTGAACGCGAACTAAAGCTAGAACCAAAACCAGCTCCAGAATCAAGCCCAAAGCCAGAGACAAATCAATTTGAATGGGTTGACGCAAGAGAAGTAAAGAAAATTAAGTCTAATTTAACGCATAGAGTTTCAGGATTTACAATGCAGGCAAAATCACATCCGCCTTCAACAGATGAAGAAAGCACAGTAGATGACGCGCTTAAACATTACGCAGCTGCGTACCCAGAAGTATTTGAGCGTATTGTTAAAGAACAATTGTCAAAACAGCAATCACAACCTCCACCGCCTTCACTAGAAACCGATAACCGACCGACCAACGAAAAATCGTTGGTAAATATTATAAAAATTTCAAAAAAACCAAAAACAAAAGTCTACTGCGAGTGGCCTGAAGGAGTCCCACTTCTGCCTTTACGTTCAGTCAAAGAATTACTGCCCTATCCTCTAGAAGAGACGTCTTCCTTACCAATGCCTCTTTCCTCACGCTCAGAATCTACATTATCAGAAAGTCAGTACAGTAAGAGTCCCGTCAGATGTTTGAAGTTTAAAATACCAATCAAAGGTACCGGTTCGCCGGGTCTCGCAGATGTTTATTACTACGATTTACTTCAGGACTCATTTACAACTTGGTGACGTCTTCAGCCGCAACCACTTTAAATAGAATTTTTTCTTTAAAGTTTTTAGATTTATAACTTGAGTACCTATGTATCGCTATTGTTTTGTAACTTTTATACAAATCAACTGTTATATTTGTTAGTAATTAAAAATCTATGCGTTAATTGTTGTGTTATTTGAGTCACAAGCGCTTGGAATTTCGGAACCGTTTCCAAATGGTAATATACTTAATTATTTACTGAATTAGTACGTCAGTAGTAAAAAAGAGCCAAGAAAATCATTTAATATAGAACTAAATAGACGGTATGGTTGACGCAGTAGCTGGGCAAAAAGCGGCTGCACAACGTTTAAAAATTATCGCACTTCTGATAAGCATGGTTCCGGCACGACGTCGCGTCGGCGCGGTGAACACGCGCTTCCAAATGGCGAGCGGCGCGCGGGCGTTCCTTCGAGTCGGAAGTTTTTTGTCACCTGGAGTATAGTCAATAATACATACCTACGATGCGATGTTGTTTCGCTGGTACCTGTTGTACGTCGCTGTACGCGCCGTAGGTACGCGGGCGCCTCGACTACACCTTGATTGTACCGCGCGCTGACCTTCCGCCGTCGCCTTTTAGTATTGACGTTATGAAATATATATTTCATATATTTATATTTCATAACGTCATTCATCATAATACATACATACATAACTTCACGCCTGTCTCCCATGGGGGTAAGCAGAGACTAGGGAACGCCAATTACTACGATTCATCAGTCATCAATTTTTTCATGCATAATATCATAGTACCATATCATATTGTCGTATGATATATCATACACTGGCCCAGAGCTTCTTTTTGTATCAGGAATATTGTAGCGATCACTGAAGCGCGACAGCATCTCTACTAACGTGTGTTACTTTTGTATGCAGTTCGCGACTGTATCGATGCTAAGTGCGACAACATGGCTACAGAAAGTAGCTCATGGGTGAGTGGCCTAAGAGGCCTTCAATAGTTAATAGTATCTTTAAGCTAAAGAAATCAATATTGTGTGCTATAAAGCCTTATTCACAACACAGTAAAAGGAATCGAGAGATTTTTTAACTTCAAATAATTTTTGTAGTAACACTTGTGTCGATGATATTGTTTTCATTACCCTAAAGCTTTTGATTAATAATATTTTCTCTTAAATCAATAAAATTTGGTAGTGAAGTACGTGAAAAATTATGATACGGACTCCAAGAACTTTCTCTACAAATTCGATGTGATCTTCGATCAACTGTTATGTCATGAAGGGCATCCTTCACATATCACATGCTATGATCACATCACATCGACCTTTGATTGCATAATCAAAGGTCGATGTGGTGATGTGATAACCTGTAACCTCTTTATTTATTATACTCTTTGAAGCTCGAAAACTTCACAATGTCACCCATACCGATGACTGACAACTTGCTGACAACTAAATCTGTCACTGATGAAGAATTTCAAATGACAAGTAGCATGAACTATTGTTCCTATTTGTGGTAATAGTAAAAATATTATACAAGGCCAAATGTAACGCATTAGAGCCGCTACTAAATATATTTTGGCAACAGATTTAGGACTATATTAGGATATGACAGGTACGTGAATATGTTGATAATAAATACCTTATTTTCGGGAACTACATTTGTTCTGTGATGAAAACTTACTCATCCCAAAAAGTTTGCTTATGCTGTTTATACATATGTTAATTTGTTTCTTTTGACCGATACTAATAGGAATTTGCTGAGATTATGTCGTAATTGTATTGAATTCATTACTTCGAGATTTTTTTTCAAAATGTGATTTGTTTATTTTGTATCATGAAGTTGTATCGAAACGGGCATTACGGCTACAACGCGGTAAGCGTCAACATTGCCATTATTACATTGCAGTTAGATATATCACGAATACTTATCCAAGCGCTACAATAAAACAATCACACATTACAAAAAAGTATTACTTGTTTAAAAGTACCTTTTCTTCTACAGTATTTTAAATTCCTTTATTTTGTTTCAGCTTTTACACAAAATTTATCCAAGAAAAGTAAACGTAAATCTAGTGTACGTAAAAGTAATGATTACCTGATAACGATCAATCAAAATGCCATGGTATCTCTAATGGATTACTGATGTAAACCAGCAGTAACAGAAATAAGTAAATTATACGTAAGTGAAAATTCCACGGATTTTAGCGAGTCTATATTTAAATAAAAATACAATGAAAAATCCGGATAACAAAAACTTCGAAAATATTCAGAAAAAGAATTTGAGAGCAACAGAGGAAACCCATCGATCTTACATGGAAAACTTAAGCAACGATTTAGATAAAAATAAACTTAAATATGGCAATGTTAATAACCAGAATCAACAGCCTACACTCGAATTTTCCTTGTCCAGATTCAGAGATACAAATATACAGGTTCCGTTAACTAGACATTCTAGCTTGCCAGAAATAAAAACGCATAAACCGAGAAAGACAACTCGAACAGATCATATCAGTTGTCAAACAAGACGACTGAAAATAATACAGCATAACCCTTTAGCATCCAAGTTTATCATAAACAAAGTGTCTGAGCATCGGTACAACAAATATCTTAAAGTCACCAATTACCCGAGTCAAACTAAATGGAAAGTGTACAGGTGTGAATTGAACGCCCACGAAGACAACAGTAGTTGTTCTTGTAATTCTAATGCCATGTTGGAAGTAATGAAGGATGTGTATTCACGGTTTAAAAACAAAAGATATGCTTACACCGCACCTACTATAATGCGAAATGAAAATAAGGTAATAGACCTCGATATATCCAGATTAAAAGAAAAAACAGAAAAAAACAAAAATGCAGAAAATACATCACATGATGAGATGCTAGCAGAAAAAGAGAATATTTTGATTGAAAAGGTCACGGTGAAACAATCATCGCCAGAAAGAAAAACACCTCCGCTCAAGAATTTCTTAAATAAAATAAGAAAGGAGCGAAAATTATCAACAGATCCAAAATCAGGATCTAGAAGAACTAAAATACGTAAATCTAAACCATCCGGCCATGACAAAACCCAAATACCTTTAGGTACTCCTGAAGAAATAATATCGTCAGAAGAGGCACTTATTAATATTTTTCTTAATGAAACTGAGACTCCTTTGAAAATAGATTCCAAAATGCTCCATAAAGTAAAGGTGGTAGGACTCACGGCTCCACTTGAAGGGAAAACTTCTGAACAAAAAGAAAAAATATTACGTTGCCTCATAGGGCATAATATTCCCCTGCCTGATGGTAAAACGTCATCTGAAATAAAGGTTATAGATAAAATTCGTAAAGAAGTTGGTTTACCTTTACAGCCTAAAACACAAATTATGAAAAATAGGTACATCGTTGCGGCTAATACGGGCCTCATGCAGCCATTGGAAGGAAAATCAGCAGAAGATAAAGTAAAGATTCTTCAAGGACTAGGGAATTTAGGGATTCCTTTACCGGAAGGTAGGACACCATCAGAAAAAGCATTAGTAACTAAAATAAGATTAAGGACAAAAGTCTTTTACATTTCTGATAGATTATCAGCAAAGCTAAGAAAAGCAGAAGATGCAGGTTTACTGACACCACTCAAAGGAAAAACGGCTGAACAAAAGAATAATATTTTATCGAGTCTGGCTATGCAAGGTATTCCTCTTCCTGAGGGCCAAACGCCATCAGAAAGAAAATTTATTGAGAAGGTGCGTGATGACCTTGGTTTACCCGTTGAACCAATAACGAAATCTATCAGAGACAAACATGAACAAGCAGCTAGAACAGGATTACTTTTACCGTTAGAAGGAAAAACAACAGAGGAAAAACAAAAAATATTACTAGGTTTATACAACATGGGTATACCGTTGCCAAGAGGCAGAACACCTTCAGAGAAAAATTATATATCCACAATATTGTCAGCACCACCAATCCAGCCAGACCTTTTAATAAACTCAAAAAATAATTGCAAACCTAAATCTGGATTTGCGCTCCTTGAAGGAAAAACATCAGCACAAAAAGTTAAATTATTAAAAGGGCTTGCAATGCATAATATTCCTTTGCCTGAAGCCAAAACACCGTCTCAAATAAGGTTGATTAATATGATATGCGCTCGACGTCCCCTCTTGCCTAAGGAATTAACAATAAATGAAAGATTTATAAAAGCCGCTGAAACCGGTTTACTCGATTTATCTAAAGGAAAAACTCAAGCTGAAAAAGACAAAGTCCTATCTACATTAACTGAATTAGGCATACCACTACCTGAAGATTGCACATCATCAAAAAGCATATTGATACAGAAAGCAATAAAAGAACTGAGAAAACTATCATTAGAACAGTCAGTAGAAAAAGGAAACACAACCAATGCCAAGTGTAACTGCAACGATGAAGCCCCTAAGAAACTTGTACAAATAATACCTAAAACAAAATTAAAATCAAAATTTCACCGAGTTAGAGATTCCAAGATTACAACGAAGCTTGAAACAATGACGCCTGACGAAAAAAATAAAGTACCAACATCTAATATCGACAATAAACTGCAACAAGCTTTAGAGCAAAAGACTAAAAACGATTATTTGATAATATCAAAGTTAAAAAAATTAAAAAAAGCGAAAGCTGCAAATCTTTTTGCAAATCTAGCCGGAAAGTCAATTTCTGAAAAAGTAAAAATATTAAGAAGCATCGTTGAAAGTGGTTTACCAGTGCCTGAAGGTAAAACGGTATCCGAAAAAGTCTTAATAAGGAAATTTAAGGCAGGAGCGGATTTATTACCTCACTCAAAACCATCAGAAAGGGTTGAGAAAAAAAAAGAAAAGAAAATTGGCAAATTAACTTTAAAAAAAGTGATGAAAGAGGACTCACCACAACATTTAAAAGATTATATTGGCAGCTCATATGAAAAGCATCAAATCGTTGAAAGTGATAAATTATGTATAAAAACAAGTTTTCCTGAATTTTCAGCACCCTGTGAAGTACCTGGTGAACGTAGTCCTAGTGTTAGAAATGAAGCGTTCGCCGTCAACGAAAGTCTCAGCGAAGGAAAAAGAGATACATGTATAAGTGCTATAGATATACCGACACATCCAATCGTCTGCAGTAATCGCATGATGCTTGACGAAATAATGACAAGACTACACCACAGTGACCCGGTGTCCGACTATTTCGGTAACTTCAGTGAATCCCAAAAGTCCCGGTATAAAGTTGAAATGTTTTCCAGTAATTCTGGTATAAATTTAAGAGCCAAATTATACTCGGCCAAAAGCGAAAATTATCAACAGAATAGTTCAACACCTTTTAAAGGGCATACGAATATTTCGGAAAGAAGAGAACCCAGTTCGGGTGACTTTAAATCGACAGATAGTGTTTATAGAGATCCAAACACACAGTCTGCAGCTGACACTTTAGATTCTATAGTAGTAATAAAAAGTGAAACTTCATTATCCTTTAACTCCAGCCCAAGTAATAGCAGGGAAACCGTCTGTAAGATGTCTGATATGGGCAGTAGCATCACATCGTATTCCTCAAATTATTCGAGTATTCCATCAACTGTCGACCTCATGAGTGTAACTTCACTAGAAGAGCTTACAACAAGGTAACTTCAAATTAAAATTTGTTAATCAATTCATTGCCCTGTCTTACTGCTAGTTAGAAACAAGATTTATGTTAATGTCAGTCAAATTGAATTATGACATTGCAAGTCCCAAGATTATGGCAATACCATACATTATCTTTTCTTTTTTATTCAATTAGCATCTGCCATTCATCTAGTTAGACAAACCACAAAGCCCTCTATTTATAAATAAGACGTCTCGCAATATCTCCTAATATACAGGTTCAGAGGACGAGTGGCATACCATATCTTCATATACGTTGTACCAGTGGTTGGTAGCAAACCACAAAATGTAATATAGTACCTATTTGTTCTGTAAAAGATAGATTGAGTTGTATTTTTTCTGAAAAATAATATTTTATCTGATGGGAACAAAAAGTATAAAGCATAGTAGCAAGTAGCAAGTTAAATACGTATGTTTGCACAATTGGGATGATGACAGGATATGAAAATTAAAAATACAATTAGTCCGTAGGTTAGGTAATGAAAAAATATTACACAAGTATTTTTTTATTTTGTCGTATAAAAAAAAATACTTAGATAAAACGCATCAAAGTTTAGGAGTGGGGACTAAAATGACATTTCTGCGCATAAAATGTACATAGAAGTAACGTCACGGGACATTTCAAATCAATATATCGTCGAAAGTATTTGTTTCTGTAAGAAATTGAAAAATACGTGACTAATGATTTAAAATAATCTACCACAAGGACATTAAAATAAAAATTAGGCATCTACCCTATTGTACATGCAAAATAAATAATTTTACTAATATTTGTTCGTAGCATGAATAATAAGCTGAGAACCCAAGCCGCAGTGATTAGCAAAAGCAACAATCAATTTAATGCAACACATCGTGACTCTATACAAGAATTTACAATATTAAGAATGTCTCAAACAAATCTTCAACTCAAAAGCGAGGAAAGAAAAGCAAAGCATTCAGCAGAACATTTTACTAAGGAACCCGTGGTAGTTATGGATGAATTTCCAAGTGAACTTGATGTATCAAAACTAATGGACAAAATAATGACTAAAAAGCGTTTTGCCGGCGCATCGTCAATATTCATAGTAGTACCAACGTCTGATGATGAAGAAGCAGAAAATAATAGGAGGTTAAATTCCGCTACTAGTTTTCTATCGAGTGAATCTCCTTTGACATCAAAAAGTACCAATTACGTGAATAAAGGTAAGGCTTTCAACGATATAAGTTTCACATTTAGTTTATAACCAATTGTATATTAAATACTATACTAAATATGCACGTATAGATTCACAGAAATTAACTTCAACTGCAAAACAAGGTTTAAGAGTATGTGGTAAATCAAAACGATTTTATATGCGAGAGTTATCATCTTCCAATGAAACACAGAAGACGGGTCACAATGAATCTCGAGGAGTTCTTAAATACGTCAAGAAAACAAAAAACGAGATTAGACGAATTGCCACATCAAATAAACAGTTTAGCATGTTGAAAAATAAACCACCAAAGCAAGGAATAGCAATTGACACGACTGAGGATAGACCATGTTGTTGCCAGATTAAAAAATCTACAGATGTGTTAAAAGCTAAAATTGACAAACCTATTGATCCGCACCCTGCGAATGTTATACTCAAACCTCGTTTTCTGAAAGGTAAGGTTTTAAGGACGTCATGACGTGTAAATATAAATATACTTTGTGCGAACAAATTAAAAAAGTTTAAAGATATCCACATTTGTTTTGATTCGAATTCATTTGTTTTAGATAAACACTCTGACTGGCTTCATTCCCTAAGCAAGCGTAGGGGATCAACTATTACGTCCGTTGCCGCTTGTCAAATACATTCTCAGTTCAGTAACGAACAACCTACAACTCAAACACCTTGTCCTATCCATAGTTATTCACAAAACCCACAATATTCACAATCTGCACAATATTCACAAAACGGACAATATTCACAAAACGCACAATATTCACCACAATATCCAGACAATTACGTTGATCCTTGTGCAAATATTACTTGTGAATGTCATGACGACAAAAAAAACAAACCACCTAAATCAACCAAAACAAAACAAAAAACACAGTCAATACAGCCTCGCTTATCACACCTACCAACACAATTACCCCTACCACACCAATCGACTCATTCACACCGATCATTCCAACCATACCAATCACCGCAACTACCAGAAAAATTAACACAACCGCGCCATTCAGGACAACCATACCAATTACCGCAACTACCACAACAATTAACGCAACCACGTCAATCAGCTCAACCATACCAATTACCGCAACTTCCACAACAATTAACACAACCGCGCCATTCAGGACAACCATACCAATTACCGCAACTTCCACAACAATTAACGCAACCGCGTCAATCAGCACAACCATACCAATTACCGCAACTTCCACAACAATTAACGCAACCGCGTCAATCAGCACACCCATACCAATCAACGCAACCGCGCCAATCAGCACAACCATACCAATCGTCCCAACCATACCAACCAACCCAATCGACTCATTCACACCAACCACACCAATCGACTCATTCACACCAACCATACCAATCAGCACATCCACGACAATCAATGCAACCACGCCAATCAACACAACCATACCAATCAACACCACCATACCAATCAACACAACCATACCAGTCGTCACATCCATACCAATCAAACCAACCCTACCAATCAACCCAACCAGGTCAATCATACCAACCCTATCAACCATGTCAACCCTGTCCATCACACCAACCCAATCAATCATACCAACCGTGTCCATCAAGCCATTCGTACCCAACTACCGATCCATACCAACAAGCCCAGCCGTACCAATCAACTCAACCGTACCAACCTGGACAATACCAACCGTCCAACCAAGCTCAACCATACCAACAATACAAACCATACATGCGGTCAAGCAAATCACACCAACCGACCGGAACAAGCCGACCATTTTACACCCCAGAACATGATTACATTGACGGAACGGAGCATCGACGCCGAGCAAGTAAAGTAAGAATATCAGTGGGACACGACGAAATGGGCATAAACGAAATTGACAGTAGACCTTTTGGTTAGTAATTTTATTTTACTATAATTATCTTCTATTTTTATATTCACTGTTAGAGCTGCAGCACTATTACCACCGCATATGAGCTTTAATATCAATAAAGTATTGATTCCAAAGCGAAAATATAACTATACTACTACCTCGGGTGGGTTCACCCGCTCTACTCGGCACCTATAGTCATTGTCGATCGGTCGTAGCGTTATGTTTCAGCCAATAGCCTTTCTCGATAAATGGACAATTCAACACAGAAAGATTTTTTTAAATCGAACCTGCAATTCCAGATATTAGCGCGTTTAAACAAACAAACAAACTCTTTAGCTTATATTATAAAGTAGAACCGGGATGACCGAGCTGTGTTCGGCATTTTTAGTACATTTTTTTTGGAAAAACAAAGAAAAATATGGAACAACAAATGAAAAATAAAATAATACAAAAATTAGAAAAAAATAAAACATTCGGTATGAACTCAAATTTCCTGCGTAGCAGGCATCTGCTCTTCTTATTAAGCTACTTTTGCTTTAAAGATAACTAGCTGTTGCCCGCGACTTCGTCCACGTAGAATAATGACTTCTGGCAGAATTCATCAGAATCGATTTAGTGCCTGAGTGAGATTTATTGAAATTAATATAACATGATTTCAAAAAAAAAATAGTTCCGCAGGTATTTTACCAGCACAGTACCCGTCCCCGTAAGGTCATTTAGTGATGAAAACTATTCTATCGACATTTGTTGTGATTCGGTATCATGAGAAAAATTAAAAGAACATAACTTACCCTTCTAAAATTAACAGTCGGCCACTATATTATACATCGTGTAAAACCTCCTTAGAGGTTAAGATAGAACTTTAGAGTATTTAAATCAACTCTAAAGATAGAACATGCTAATTAAGTGTCACACACTTCGTTTAAAGCTATTAGGTATAGAATAAATATAAGATATGTTATAATTTAAGTATATTTTGCTTTGGAATCAATTTACCATTATAGCGCTTCTGGAAGCCAATCAATAAAATAGATGTAATGAAGGACAATGACCCTTTGGTCACCTGTCTTTACAGGTGCTATGGAATTTTATGGAATTTTTGGGCGGCAATTGATCGAATATTCAGAAATAGGTAAATCGGGATATTATTAGGTAAATCAGATAGAACTGAGTGAAATCAGAAAATATTGCGACATACATTATGTATGTAAGACAGGCGCACCCCATGTATGTATATAATCTCACGCCTGTCGCCATAGGGTAGGCACGTTAATAAAGCTTATTGTGACATATAATGCATATTTACATTCACTTATAGTAACGATTTGAAGAAATAAAACATAGGTTATCGTATTTTTTATTATAAAACGCTGTAAGCAATATATATATACAATAGGGTAGTTTCCTAAATTTTATTTTAATGTCCGTCTGGTAAATTAATTTAAAACTTTAGACACGTATTTTTTCTTTTCTCTCAAAATTAAATACTTTCGACGATATATTAATTTGAAATATCGTGTGACGTCACAGCGTGCCACGTTTTGTAGCACGTTATGACGTAACGACCTCCCACTCCTAAACTTAGCGCCATTTTATCTAAGTATTGCAACGTAATACGAGAAAATAAAAAAATACGCGTGTCTAATATTTTTTTCATTATCTAAGTGACGTGTGCTTATTAGATATTTAATGTTGATACACTGGAAACTACCCAATTGGTGTTTAAACAAAATAAGTCATTAGCTGGCCACTGCGCAAATAAAAATTCTTTCACAAGCTCTATTAGTGTTTTGATCTGAGATCAGTGACAGATGTCCGGAAAAATTCCTCGCAATTTAAAATTAGAAATTGACTGAAAAATATTAATTTAAATAAATAACTAAATAAATGTTTGACTTCTGCTCATTTCAATGATCTTAGCTCGGATTGAGATTTTGGTTATGAGTTTGTTTTGATTGAGAATTTCATTTGTATTTTTATTCTTGGCAGTTTCTTTTCATATAGTGTCGACTGTCGCCAGAAAATATGGCAGCAATTTTAAGGATATATTCTGAACTTATCATTTATTAATTGATCGTGACGCGGGATATCTGCAGTTTTCTTAGATCTGCCCTTAATAACAGCTCCTTCACCTCGAGTTATTCATACCTATTTAGATAAAATGTTGCCAAAACGAGACAGTGTTTATAACTCCATCTAAAGGTATGAACCGCTCCAGTACACAATTTTGATCAGTTCTTAAAACACAATGTGTATTTATTGATTAAAGATGATTTAGATACGAAAATATTTCGTTTGTGTCTCAATACATTTACACCGAGATAGTAAAGTACTTACGATCTATTATATCCAACATAAACAACAGAGTTACGTTTTGATACACATTTTAATAACATACATGATTTTTTGTCTAAAATTATTAGAACTTAACTTTTTTACAACATATATATCATATTCTTATACGACGTTACTACAATAATTAAGTAATTCAATAGCGACGCATTTCGAACTATATTTAATCACGTATGTAGGTACAGTACATGTAATTAGAAATGTTACGAGTAAGAACACTTTCACGCGTACTATTAATTTATTTAATTACTAGCTATTCCCCGCAACTTCGTCCGCGTATAACAATGACTTCTACTGAATTTTACATTTTTTAATTAGTCTTTTCCAAGGCTAATTCCAATGCTGTGCAACATATCTCATCAGAATAGATTGAGTTACATTTATTGTAAAATGTCGTTCGTTTTAATTATTTCAATAAAGAAAGAATCCCACAGTGATTTTACCCGTATGGTATCCATTCCCGTGAGGCATTTGAATTGCAATCAAGTAGGTACAGCGGTTGAAAACCCTCAGGCGTCATTTTCCGAGTCTTAAACTATCGACGTACCGAATTCCACTCAAATAACTTCAATGGTTTAAAAAATAGAGAGCCCCAGAAGTTTAACGCAGTGGGTTTTTCCGGGATAGAACAATCATACGTACTTTCCAGTGCCAGTGTCTCAAACTTTGGATGAACCGAATTTCAATCAAATAGCTTTAGTAGTTAATAATGTTAGTATGCAGCCTCTTTCACAAATATGTCTTTTTGTTTTGTTAGAAATTGACGTGATTTTTTTGTTGAGTGGAGATAGTTGAAAGGATTGAAAATAGCGTAGCATTTTGTTTCTTTCTAACCCACCACTACCCTAAATCAGGGGATGGAAGTTTATATGGAGCACTTCGTAATTTTCAAGAAAACTAAATTTAATATTATATTTGTGACCAGCAAAATATCGTGCTTCTTTTTTATCTTTTGTAAAACTGCCCCCAATACTTTAAAAGAGCGCGAGCGAAATCGTCGGTAGAAGCTAGTCCATTAATAAAATATATTCAGTTAATTGAATTCGTATTTTTTCCTTAAAATTTCTGATTATGATGCAACTAAATACTATAATTAGTCCTTGAAGTTTCCTATGTTATGTATGGATAGTTTTTGTGAATGACTCGTCCACAATTGTGTACTGGGTCTGGCTGGGACATGTAAATCTTTTTTGTCGTGATTATTATCAGAACATATGTTACACGACCTGACCCTCGCCCGGTAGACGTCTTTTGCGATTGCTTCACCATCGAGGCAGTTTTGACTTGATAATTGAAGGTAAATCTATCTTATTATTATTCAAGAGGTCGGTGAAAACATGCGTATGTCAAATCCTGATTCGATATTAAAGTACTCCTATCCTCACCCGCTTTATTCAAACTGTAAAATAAGGATAGTGTTGTTATAGAAGAGCTCGTGTATAGTGCTTTTAGTTCTAAAGAAAGTGCTAAGCCATGCTTCAGCACAAATGGGCCGATTGGACCGAAGTGATACGGCTTCGCAAAAAACCGACGTGATACAAGGCTTGCGTCGTGTTTCATTGTGTGAGTGTGTGAGTGAGGTTACCGAAGGCCCTATTACACCGCCGCCCCAAAATCTTCAATCCCTAAATCTCCAATAGTCCTCAAACTCCTAACGCCTGTGGTGTTTCAGGTGTCCATGGAAGACACCGATTTACATACCATCAGATAATCCGTCGGCTCGTTTACCATAGTCTAAGATCCGGCTGCAGAATCAGTGTACCCATCGAGTGTTTGCTGAAAACCAAATTTTTACACATATTCATGATTAGGAGAATTTATATCCACCAGGTTGCCTATCAAAATGTGGCCGCTAGTATTTTTAATTAAATTATTAATAATTCATAATCCGTAAGAAATTCCGCTGACAATTTTTTTCAATGAAATGTCGTCTACTTCACGGCAACATCTATAAAGACTCTGAAAAATTATGGTTGCCGTTGCGCACCTGGCCGCACCTCTTCGCAGCCAGGTATACACAGGTATGAATTTGTTACTGTTGAAGTGGTGGATGTGGTTGAATAATAGATAATAGCTTGTTATATTTCGTAATTTTATTAAAAATCTCACAGAAAGCACATGATGGGCGCCATGCAGACGACAAAAGGGAAGAACACAGATAATATATCGACGTCTATGAGAAACTTGCCAACTTAACACTAGATGGCGCTACTTATATTATTTAACTTAAGATTATAATATTTACCTTATTACAACACACCTCCTTAAATTTATAATCTTAACATTTTATCTTACATGAACAGTATTTTAAAGTTATTACAGTTTTAATATTTTACTTAAACAGTACTTTAAAGTAATAATCTGAACTCTTAACTAAATTAATCTTAATTCAAACATGTTTTTCAAAAATTTTGATTTATCTAGACTCTTAGTCAACATATCTGCTAAGTTACATTTTGTATCAATTTTAATTATATCAATAAGTTTGTTTTCATAATTCTCGTTTATATAATGATATTGCACTTCAATGTGCTTTGAATTTTTAGTAAAGTTACCATACTTAGCTATTGCAATTGCACCTGAGTTATCTTCATACAATTTTATTGGATAACAAAAGTTTATATCAAATGACTCACTTAACAAATTTCTTATAAAAAGTACTTCAGTTACTGCC